GTCTGGAGTTGGTAGCACGTACATTTCTCTGTCCCTCACTATAAGGAAGAGGTTATAGACCTCTTCTTGTCATTGATTCTCCAGAAGGGTACGCAAGGCACAGAATAATGAGGAAGACACAACTCCGCGCTCAGAAGATAGGAGCAAAGTCGGGTTGAGACTCCAGTTTAGAGATTTGCAGACTTTATACCATAAAATGAGCAATTTCGGTTTCCAGAGGAGCAAACAGGCAGATCTTCGCTGGACATTGGCTCACACAGCCAGTCGTGGCAGGTGTCCCTGCCTCTGGGCTGAGTGAGCTAAGCACAACTGGCACCTCCTAGCTCCTAGGGCTCTGGAAGGCCAGATATATACTCTGAGAGAGGAATTTGCTTATCAGTAAAACTGTTCTTCACCATCATTTCCTCAATCGTTTCTAAAGAAAACGAAGAAAGCAGTCTTTTTTTTAGTTTCATTTTGTCTCAGTAGGGCTAGGAACTCTGACCACGGTCAGTTTCACTTTCCAGTTTCTGTTTATAGATCAGTTTCGAATTGTTCTTGCAAGGACAGGACTACAGGTTTTAATTCGTTGCTGTTTACCTTCCTTATATAAGCCTTGTCCGGGAGTTACATTTACTTGAAAATCTCCCTGGCAGGCTGGCAGATCTCAGCGGAGCCTATCCAGCTAAGCAAAAGGTAGTGGAGCTGTTGCCTGATTCACAGCAACAATGAGGTAGGAGTTTCTTGCTTCTCTGCCTTTCTAAGGTTTTGGGGAAAAAATGTTAATCATTACTATCTCAACAGACTTAGTTTCAATGATGTCAAGTTTCCTCACTTTTCTGTTTGAGCATTGGCTTGTGGGCTGAGTGTGTGTCTGTGTACAATCATACACACATATAAACTGTTTGATTAACTTCATGTTTGTTAGCATTGCCCTGAGGAAGTTTACCTCATGTTAAAGCCTAAAGAAAAGGAGAGATACAGCAGAATAATTTTGCAGGAGAAGGTGATCCCATCTCTGACATTATTTTCCACCAAACTGACTTCTGACTCACATAGGGACGGAAGGCCCAGTTTGTCTGGGTAGAGACATTGCCTTTAGCTGGTTCCTCACCATGGAGGAAATGCAGGATGCACACAGCCATGTGACTGACAATCTTGAGGTCTCTCAGATGTCTGGAGGGAAATATTGTGGGATTGTGGTAGCAGAAGGTCACTACCTAGAAAACAAAGCCTTCTGTAGGCTTCTGGTCTCACTCTGCATTGCTGACCTCCTGTCAGGCCAGTCCAGTCCGGCTGCATTTAAGATTAGCTGCCAGGTGGTCTGCAGGATCCTTGATCTCCTCCACTGGGGACATCCCTATCTTTCTTGACTAAAGGACATAATGTGGAAATTTCTATACTGTCCACACTGAATCTACAGTCCAATAATCCCTGATATCAGCAGAGTAAAAAGAAAAGATATTAATCAATCAATATTGATCTGCAAATTTCCCCTCAGTGCTCCAATCAGTAACATTTTGAAGGGGCAAAAGTTTCAGAAAAGGTACAATGACAGGACTTTGATCAAGTGTTCTTCCTCCTCTTTCCCTCCACCCTCGCTCCAGGTATGATCTACAGACAGAGTGGGTCATCACTGATAATTATTATTGTTGTTGTTGTTATTATTATTATTATTATTATTATATAAAAGTAGCCATCACTTCCTGAATGTTAATTAAGTGCTAGCTGGCTTCTAATATTATTGTGTAAATAATTGCATTTAACCCTCAAAAGACACTGGGAGGCAGGTGCTCATACTGGTTGTGCTATAATAAATCTTAGATTTAAAAAAGGATAAGATCACATAGGTAATAAGTGATAGAGCTGAGACAAGAACCAGAGTCTCTATTCAATGACACCTAATTTAACCTTTAAACCAATGTTTCATAAAGGGTACCAGTAGGGGTTTTATGAGATAATTTCAGACGCCCTACTAATTAGTTTTTATGTTTTAATGCCTTTTGTGTTTATTTCAACATGTATTAGGAAAGTAGGCATATATAATTTGAAGAATTTCTGTTTTGGGTAGTAATATGTTTTTTTATTGTGATGAAATACATGTAAGATAAAATTTACCATTTCAATTATTTTTAAATGCACAATTTTCTGGTGTTTAGTTCATTTACAATGTTGCGCAACTATCACCAGTGTCCACTCTAAGAATGGGTTCATCACCCTGAGGGGAAACTCCACACGCATTAAGCAGTCACTCCCCACTCCTTCTTTGACCCAGGCCCTGGCAACCATTAATCTGCTTTCTGTCTCTATGGATTTCCTTTTGTGGATATTCCATATACATGGCAATGCAATATGTGGCCTTTTGTGACTGGCTTATTTCAATTAGCGTAATGTCTTCAAGAATCATCCATGTTATTGCTTATATCAGAATGTCCTTCCTTGTGAACGTTGAATAATATGCATTCTATGTATACACCACATTTTGTTTATTCACTCTTCCATTGATGGACACTTGCATTGCTTCCACCTTTTGGCTATTGTGAGTAATGCCGTTAGGAATACAAGTATACTAATACCTGTTCAATTTCCTATTTTCACTTATTCTGGGTATATATCCAGGTATGGAATTGCTGAATCCTATGGCGATTGTATGCTTACTTATTGGAGGAGGAGTCACCACCATTTGCCACAGCAGGTGCCCCATTTTACATTCCCACTACCTGCAAGGTTCCTGATTTCTCCACGTCCTCACCAACACGTTATTTTCTGTTTTTTGGTTTTTTAAAAATAATAGCTGTCCTAATTGGTGTGAAGTGGTTTTGAGTTGCATTTTGTTACTGATTGGTGATGCTGAACACCTTTTCATGTACTTACTGGTCATTTCTATATCTTCTTTGGAGAAATTGTCTTCTCTCATCATCTGCCCATTTTTTAAGCAGATGTTTTGTTGTTGCTGTTGTTCTTGAGTTGTAAGTGTTGCTTATATAGTCTGGATATCAATCCTTTATCAGATACATAATTTGCAAATAAATTTTCCCATTATGTGAGTTTTTTCACCTTACTGATATTGTCCTTTTATGCATTAAAGTTTTAAATTTTGATGATGTCTAACTTATCTACTTTCATTTATGATGCCTGTGCTTTCGGTATCATTTCCAAGACATCATTGCCAAATACAATGTTGTGGAGCTTTTTCCCTATGTTTTCTTTCAATATTTTCACAGTTTTAGAACTTATATTTAGGTCTTTGATCCCTTCTGTGTTCCTTTCTTTTTTTCTGTTTATGCTGTAAAGTAAGGGTCCAACTTCATTCTTTTGCAAGTGGATAGTGTGTTGTATGAGGTCATTGTTTCCTTGTTGATTTTTTGTCTGGAAGGTCTATCCAGTGAGGTCAGGGGGCTGTTCAAGTCCCCTACTGGGGCTGCACTGCTGTCGACCTCTCCCTTTGAGTCCACCACGTTTAGCAGTTTCTGAAAAATGTGAACACATACCTCTCATATGCCTTGGCTGTTGCACCCGTGGTCATTTATCCCTGAGAAATAAAAATTTACTTTATTTGTATGTTCGTACAGACAAAAGCCTATACAAAACTGTTCATGGCACCTTTATTTGTAATAGGCCCAAACTTGAAACAACTGAAGTATCCATGATAAGTGAAAAAAGCCAATCTGAAAAGGTCATATCCTATATGATTCCATTGATATGACACTCTTGAAATTACAAAATTATTGAAAGAAAGAACAAATTAGTGGTTATCAGAGACTAGGGATTTTTTGGAGAGAAGGAGGAGACACGTGACTATGAAGAAATAATATAAGGGAGATACTTGTGCAGATAGGATAGCCCTGTATCTTGATTGAAGTGGTGTTTCCATGGATTTATTCATGTGATAAAATGACATAGAACTATACACATATTATACCAATTTCAATTTCCTAATTTTGATCTCATACTATATATAATTGTGCAAAATGTAATCATTGGGAGAAACTGGGTGAAGGGTACACTGAAACTATGTATTCTCTTTGCTTTCTGTGAATTTATCATTATTTTCAAAAAACAGTGGAAAAAAATAATTGGTCAAAATTATCTCTTTTAGGTGGTCTTATTTTGTTGCATAACCTGCAGACTAAGGTCCTGAGGTTCTGCATTTCTACCTGGGCTCTGTCCAAAGTATATTAGTAAGAAAATGGAAAACTTTTTAAAAAAATTTTATTTATTGATTTTGAGAGAGACAGAGACATTGATTTGTTGTTCTACTTATTTATGTATTCATTGATTGCTTCTTGTATGTGCCCTGACCAAAGACTGAACCAGCAACCTTGATGTATCCAGACATTGTTCTAACCACCTCAGCTCCCCAACCAGGGCCAGGAAATTCTTATATACCATGTAATATGATATCAGTGCTTTGCACATATGGCTTATTAATCTTCATCAAACCCAGTGTGATAAGAACTACTATTATCCCTATTTTATAAGTAGGACATCGAGGCACAAAGAGGTTACTTGGAGAGAAAGTGCTGGAGCCAGGCTATGGAACTAAGCAATTGCATTCAAACTCCATACAGACCTTAGAAATACAGTTGACCCTTGAACAACGCAGAAGGGAGGATGCCAAGCCCTCCTGCCCATCCCCTGTCCCCGCTCAGTCAGAAACTCACTATAACTTTAAGCTCTATAGTAAGCCCTTCATATTCATGGATTCAACCAACCATAGATCATACACAGTAGTTTTTTCCAACCACAATTGGTTGGATCCCTGCATGTGAAACCAGATAGGAAGAACCAACTAAATTTTATAAAAATCCAGGTATAAGTGGACCCAGACAGTTTAATCCTATGTCTCTCAAGGGTTAACTATAGAGAAACTTTATTAAAAAAAAAATCAAGGCAGGAGTGACCTTTTGAAGGCTAAGCTATACAACAAGGGGTGTTTTATCATCCCTCGTTTCCAATGGAGGAGTGTTTCCATTGGCGGTGCCTCACCTAACAAAGGAAATCTGCTTGTGTTTTCACAGTAAGAGTGCTGATGAAGATCAGGTCAAAGATAGACTGCAGCAGTTGAGATGCCATTTCACATGGAAGTTGGTAATTGAAGACGCTGAAGTGCCTGATTTAGAAAACAGGGTCTTCGATGAAATTGATTTCCTAGACACAAAATTTAATGTGGCGATACACAACCTCCTGGCCTATGTGAAACACCTGACAGGCCAGAATAAGGAAGCCCTGCAGAGCTTGAAAGCAGCTGAAGACTTAATCCAGACAGAACACGCCAGACAATCAGACGTGAGAAGGCTGGTAACCTGGGGCAACTATGCCTGGCTGTATTACCACATGGGCAGGCTGGCAGAAGCCCAGATTTACCTGGACAAGGTGGAGAACACTTGCAAGCAGCTTGCCAGTCCCTCCTGCTACACAGTGGAGAGTCCAGAGATGGACTGTGAGGAAGGATGGGCCTTGCTGAAATGTGGAGGAAAGAATTATGAACGGGCTAAAGCCTGCTTTGAAAAGGCTCTGGAGGTGGACCCTGAAAACCCAGAATTCAACACAGGGTATGCCATTGCTGTGTATCGTCTGGAAGGATTCAACACAGCACCGCAGACTGACAAGACATTTTGTCTGCACATCCTAAAACGGGCCATCAGACTAAATCCAGAAGATGCATATATGAAGGCTCTCCTTGCCCTGACGTTTCAGGATATCGGACAAGAAGCTGAAGGGGAAAAGTACATTGAAGAAGCACTGAGCAACAAGTCTTCTCAAACCTACGTCTTTCGATATGCAGCCAAATTTTACCGAAGAAAAGGCTCTGTAGATAAAGCTCTTCACTTCTTAAACGTGGCTTTGCGGGCAACACCCTGCTCTGCGTTCCTGCATCACCAGGCAGGGCTTTGCTATAGATCACAAATTTTTCAAATAAAGAAAGCTACAAAGGGGCAGCCTAGAGGACGAGATAGAGAACATATTGACAGAGTAACAAAATTAGCCATATCTCATTTAGAATTTGCTCTGGAACAAAAACCAACAATGGAAATTGCTTATATTCACCTAGCAGATATGTACTCAGAAGCAGGAAACTACAGTAAAGCCGAAGATGCTTATAAAACAGTGTTGAGCATGAAATCATATGGAGAAGAAAAATTGCAAGAGATATATTTCAAGTATGGCCGATTTAAGGAATTCCAAAGGAAATCTGAAGATGATGCAATTATTTCTTATTTAAAAGCAATAACAATAGAAAAGCCATCATTTTCAAGAGATAAAAGTCTCAGTGCTTTGGAGAAACTGGTTTTAAAGAAACTTCAAACAAATGAAGCAGACATAGAAAACTTGAGCATCCTTGGGTTCGTCTACAAATCGAGAGGAGAAATGAACAAAGCCCTGGAGTACTATGAGCAGGCCCTGAGGTTGGCTGCTGGCTTTTAGAACTCTGCTGGGAAGTGTTCCTTAGGTTCCAAAATACAGACCACTTTCACATTTCATTTGATTTTAGGTTACTGTGTACTAACCATCTTTTCTGTTTGCTGGTTTTAGAAACATGTATTTTTTGAGCAATTACACTTGATAAAATATTATTTGTATTCAGAAACAGGATATGTATGCTTTTGTGTGTGAAAGAGAGGAAGAGAGACATAAACTTCAGGTCAGAATAATGTTGTATATTTGGGGGTGGAAAATTCTGCTTTTCTTTGGTGAAGCAATTGGACATTTTGTGGAAACCTCATGCGGTTTACCATCTAGTGAGAGACAGACAGTAAAACAAGGACATAGTCCATTAAAGGTCAGCTTTCTCCATGAAGATGCCTGAAATTTTGTTCATTGTTAATGTTGCAAACACTTCCTCTTGTTTTGTGCCAGTTTATTTGAAGCACTATGTATTCAGCCACTTGCTAATATTGATATAGTTAGATCAGAAAATATGCAACAGACGCAAAATGATCTGAGAAGCCATTTGTGGCGATCACCTTTGATTACAACATTTTATTAAAGGTCAATGAACAACAAAAAATATTTTTAAAGGAAAAAATAAGGAAGTAATATTGCCTTGACTGGTGTGGTTCAGTGGGTTGGGTGTCATTCCAGAAACAAAATGCCACAAGGCCTAGTTTGCTGGCCAGTTTGCTGGCCAGTTTCCTGGTTAGGGGCATGTGAGAGACAGCAGATTGATGTTTCTCTCACACATTGATGTTTCTCTCTCTTTCTCCCTCTAAAATAAATTTTTAAAAATCTTTAAAAAATGAAAGTGATATGACTGTTTTTGCTGTGTGGTTTTGGGGAGGCTATATTAATTTCCTATTGTGGCTATAACAAATTATCACAAACTTGGTAGCTTAAAAACACAGAAATTTATTATCTGAAAGTTCTGTACGTCAGAAGTCTGAAACAGATTTCATTGGATCAAAATTGTTACAGAAACAGCCCCCTGCCCCTGAGGGTCTTTTGTTACTGTAGGTTCTTTATACCTATTGCCATGTTAGGAACTGTGGCTCTCAATGCCAGAGTTTGGTAAAAAAGAAAGGAATTATTTAATTAGAAGTTATACAGGTTCAGAATAATGGTGGAATTCTGCCATTAAATCACACTCCCTTTAGAAACAAAGATATACCCACAAACACACAGTCCTGCCCTCCTCTCCTTTGCCCGGTAAGTCCAGTCTCAGAGCATGCCAATCAGACGTACCACCTTCCAGAAGGAAAGAAGTCCAGAGCTCACTTTTCCAGGTTCCCCCCAGTAATGGTGCTCTGCTGGGCAGGCCTCCCTCTGTTCCCAGTACCATCAGCTGTGTCGCACAATCTCCAGTTCTTAATCCAAAACCACATGGCATCTCACGACCGGCTGGCAAGAGACCTTTTACCCACTATTGAGCCTCATGGTCCTGCAAGGGTCCCATATTGTCCCACATTGTCTCCATCCCACATGGCGGCCCACCTTTTTGTTTAAATCCCAGCCTGGAACCTCCTCCATAACCCCATTTCCGACTCCTCCCATACTGGACTATACCTGCCCGTAGTCCAGTTTCTTCCATGTTCCTTTCTTGGCTGCCACTGTTAGTCTGTCGCAGAGGCCACCTCCAAGCTGCTCTCACAAGCCCAGAAAGCGCCCCGCCACCCCCCGCTGCCACCCTCCACCACCCTGCCCCCCACCCGTGACAGCTATGTTGCATCGCAGGTTAGAGTCATGCCCATCTCCCTGGCTCTGCGCGATGGCGTTTTAATATTATTAAAATGCAGGCCAAGTTCTTCAGTCACACCCTGTTACAAAATTAGCATTGACACAGCCATACTTCCTCCAGAGACCCTAGGGCAGGGGTGTCCAAACTTTTGGCACCTCTGGGCCACACTGGAAGAAGAGTTGTCTTGGGCCACACGTTAAATACACAAACACTAACAAAAACTGATGAGCAAAACTAGAAAGGCCTGTGCATAATTTTCATGATATCCGCCACCACAGATAAGCAAAAAAGGACTCATATAATGATCCTAACTGTGCAGTAGCCCTTTCGATAATCTGTTAAAATCATTGAGCAGATCCCAAGTTTGTGATCACTAATAAAGAAAATGCACCTAAGTAATAAAACTTCATATAAAACTTACTAATAAAATGAAATAATATTTTAAGTAAATGTGCGATCTTGTGTTGGACTATATTCATAGCCTTCCTGGGCCACATGCAACCCACGGGGTGGACACCCCTGCTCTCGGGGATATTCCTTTTGTATATCAACCAGCTTCTAGGCGCTTTGCATTTCTTGGTGGAGACTGCTAAATCCATGAGAATGCAACTCCCCAAGGAATTTTCAGGGATATTGGGCTGGGCTTTGGATTGCTACTGAAATTTTATAGGCATTGGAGTAAGCAAAATCTATCCTATTGAGGGAAGGTATAGAATTACATAGAAAGAATCTTTCCAATTTTCTTATCGCTAAAACAAGAGATCTATTAGAGTTCACAAAAACAATACCTTAAAGTGCTTGTGCTTGGGAAAGGAGGCTGTGTAGTGCTAAGTCTAACCACTGTCAACTCTCCCAGTGTCAGAAATATTAAAAGTAAGAAATTGTTGAATTGGTTGATGCTCTTGACTATTAGGCAACTCTTCCCAGGCATTACTGTGCATCATTTGCACCCAGAAAGCACATCTTGTTAATGCAAAGTCTCTGGATTATATAATGTATTCGTTTGACAAGCTCCAGAGATCACAGTTACTTAGTGTGTTTTATCACCTAATACCATCTCTTTGTCCCATCCTTCCCAACTCTGCAATACATCTCTACACTTCCCAGAGCTCAGTAAAATTAAAGTGTGTGATAGCCTGGATGCTTGCAGAGAGAAACAACAAGCAGCAAATCCAGAAAAATAGACGCTCTTTGGCACTGGAAATACCATTGCCAAATTTACACATGAGGAGATCCAGGTATTATTACCAAGAGGTCTCTTTAAATGGATAGCTGAATTTTACGAGCTTGTCACTCCTATTTAAATGACTATCTTAGGTGTCCTTATTTAGAGTTCCCAGCACATAATTTCTCCCAAGTGCTCAGGGATCAGGTCATGCCACAGCTCTTGCCATTCACCACTGTGATAGATATCCTAGTGTCTATCTAGGGGGAGCAACACGTTGCAGGGAGCGCCCCGGTGGAACGCGGGGCCCCTGGATCTGAGGGTTGCTGTCCAGAGCCAGGTGAGGAGGGAGTGGGGCTCTGAATCCCACAGACCCTGTCCTGGGGTTGTAACGGATAAGAGGAATAAACATGAGCAGTCGCACTTTCTCTGTTTGCCAGGAGAGGAGACATGGCTCTTCCCTCTAGGGGAGAAGGCCCCAAACCCCCTTGTCCAAAGGCTTTGAGAACCATAGGCAAAGGAGTATGGATGCAAAGCTCATCAATCAATGTCAAAAGGCTATGTTTACAGAAAACAAACAGAGAGCATAGATAACAATTGGAGGAACACAAGAGATCAGGCCAGGCTCTATGAATAATGTAAATCTCTTTCCCAGTTTGAGCTAGTTATTATTGCTTTTGAGGAAAGAACAAGCACGCTTAGAGGAACTTACTTCTAGGCCTGATTGTCCCACGAACCAAACGATCCAGTTTAGGGGTTGTACCTGCCTTTGGTATTGTTTCAAGCCTGAGCCAAGGCAGGCGGGGCAGAGCCACCAAGAGATAAGGAGACTTCTTTCAGGTAGAATGAGGACTCCAGCTGCGTCCTAGCTGGAGGGGGAGGGGGACGGGGAGGGGCGCGGACCTCTTTGCCGTTTCTCCGTATCTCCCAAATCCTTGTCCTGCTGCCTATACTGGGGCCGATGTCTGGCTTAGGTCGTCTTTCCTCACGGGAGAACTTACCTGTCATCAACAACCGACCATCACAGGGCCAAGCAGGGTGATATGAGGGACAGGTTTCATCTCCTCAGTGGCCTGTTTTCCCAAGGTCTCCTTGATTACTTCCAGCCTTGGGGCCCTCTTGCGAGGCTACAGTTCCTGAAACCAGACAGTGCAGTTTCCCAACATTCTAGCCCCGGTCTTTGCTCTAATTGCTAGCTACAGAGTATTGCAGGCTCCAGCTCCTTGGGGATCACCCTGGCCACCGGTGTCTCCATTCTCATAATGCTGCTAGGGGTGAAACTGCTTTGGGACTCAGGACCTCTACTCTATATACTGCTGCTTGGATTACCCACCCTCAGTGTTTATCCACAGCTCTGTATTTTGTTCCCAGCCAGACCAAATGTGATTCAGACACCTCCACTCTGCGGTCCCGTGCAGAAGGGAGGATGCCTTCTCTGACGTTTTCCTTGATGTCCGTCTTTTCCTTCATCCAGGCCTCTTCCTGAATTCCAGTACCAACTTCATCTCTGTTCAACTTTTCCTCTCCTACCTAAGTCTACCTCCTATCTCTTGCACGATGTGCTGTGAGGAGTAATTTTTTTTAATTGGGCTTATACATGGGGGTATTACTTGTAGCAGTGATTTTCACCTTACCTTGTAAGAGCGAAGATTAGGATTCTGCCCCTCAGGGCAAAAAGAAATTGCTTTTGGCAACTTCTGGAGACTTTTTTGGTTGTCACACTGCAGGGCTCTGCTGACATCTAGTGGGTATATGCAAGGATACTGCGTAAACACCTTCACCGTACAGGGCAGTTTTCCACAACAGAGAATTATCCAGCCCAAGTATCAGTAGTACCAAGGCTGAGAAACTCTGATTCACATCCATCTCCTGGAAGAGTTATTGAAACTGAGTGTTTATTCTGAAACTTGAAAAGTAACAACCTGTTATTTAAGTTTCAGTTTCCCCAGCAGATTTAGATCAGTGGCCATGTTTTACTTTAAACTTCCCTTTTTCTCTAGTTGCTGGTTTTTACATGTTCTGAAGAAGAAAACCAAAAGATAATACACTACTGATCTGCCCAAGACCCACCTAATCCAAGAGTCTGTGGAAAAAAAAAAAAAAAGATTGATACTAAAATTCCAGCTAGTGATTTCAGCATGTTAAACACCTACTCAACAGCCAGGTCTTTGTTTCTTTTCAATCGTGAAAATGTATATTTCTTTAAAATTTTTATAGGTGGCTTTTGTCTTTCTGAATTTGAATTTCTAAAACATATAAGTAGATAACTAGGAGGGTTTTTTTCCTTTGATTTTTACCATTGATTACTTGTTATCCATTTAAACCTTAATAAGCAGAGACTATCTCTTGTCTCACATACAGCGGAGAAAAAATAAGGGAAAGAAGTGGGAACAAGGGAGAAAAAACATGACCAAGGCACTGGACATTGTTTTCATTGTTTTCAAACAATGGAGCTCTATTAAATTTTTCTACATCCTTGGTAAGAAGAAAATTCTGGGTTTATTTTTCTACTGAAACCATTCAGCACCTTTTTTAAAAAATCTGGTTTCCTACTTAAGATAAATATTACAGTAGCCTATAAGCCACCACACACTCATTGCCTCTCTGATCCCTTTTACAACTTTTCTCTGTTCTCTCCACTCCAAGCACACCATCTGCGCTGGTCAACTATGCTCCAACCTCAAGGCCTTTCCACTTCCTGTTTCCCCTGCCTGGCACACACTTCCCTAGCCCCATATCCACTCATTTACCACTCTTTGGCTCAGCTGGCACTTTCTTGCTGAAACCTTCCCTCGCTCACATACAAATAGCAGCAAAATACCCTGAACTCCTACCCTCTTTATGCTTTATTTTTATTTGCCATAGAACCATCTGACATATGACACTATTTGTTCTTTATCCTCATCTCACACACTAGAAACTAACTACAGGAAGGTAGATCCCTCTTCTGTTTAATTCATCGCTATTATCAACAGTGCCTGAACAATGTGTGGCTTTTAATTTTTCAGTGATGTTTATTAAACAAGTGATGGAGGTCGAAGGGGACAAAAATTTTAGTGTATGGATATTTGGCATTTTCTGCTTACACTGCCAATACCACCCCCATCTTCACTGGACCTATAACAGGAAGCACTTTAGACAAGGACACAGAAGGCAAACACCATACAATTATGAGTGAGGGAGTATAAACCTCTCTACAAAGCAATTCGGCAGTCCCCACCAATATGTAAAATACATATACATTTTGAACCAAAAACTTATCTAAATTTACCCAATGGGAATAATAGCACAGATGCATATCATTGCAATGTTTATTGAATGAAGACTGGAAGCAGATACTTCCATTGCAGCTTAGGATGCACAAAGCTGGAAAGAGCATCACTGCCACTCTTAAGACAAAAATAACACTGAACAATCTCATTTCATTTAAATTTAGAAAGAAAGGAAGAAAGAAAGAAAGGGAGGGAAGAGAAAGAAAGAGAGAGAGAAAGAAAGAGAGAGAGAAAGAAAGAAAGAAAGAAAGAAAGAAAAGAAAAGAAAAGAAAAGAAAAGAAAAGAAAAGAAAAGAAAAGAAAAGAAAAGAAAAGAAAAGAAAAGAAAAGAAAAGAAAAGAAAAGAAAAGAAAAGAATGAAGGAAAGAAAAGAAAAGGTTAATTGAGGGGCACAGGGACTCAGGCAGACCAACGTCCAGAGGCCCAACTGCAAATCCAACTCTAAACGACCCAGAGGTCTGCAAAGGTCCCCTCCGCGGCCCCCTAAGTCCAGCTCCGAAAAGCTGGTGGGGGTGTTCCCACTCATCCTTTCCAGCAAGTTTCCGTTTCCTGGAGCTGGACTCCGCCTAGTCGGGGTCGGATTCAGTTTCTAGTTTCCTTTTCCCCCAGCTCCAGTCCTGCCTTTAACAAAGACAAACGCCCTGGCACCGAGGCGCTGCGTATCCTCGTGGGAAGCGCGGGCCCGCCCATCAGCACCCTTGCGCACACGCACAAGCTCTGCAGCTCGGCTCCCCGCCGCTCAGCAGCGCATCATCCGGGTCCTAAGGAGGAACCCCGAGGGGAGTGCAGACTGCTGCCTGCCAGGACGACCCCCGGAGCCCAGCCACCATGAGGTAAGGGCTTTCACCACTTCTCCACCCAAACTCTGCGTAGGTCTTTGTTGCAAACTGGTGTGTTTCTTTTATTCCGTTTCCAATGCAGCGCTGCCGCGGCCCATCACGAGGCCAAGCCCCACGCACCGAGCAGCTGGGTTGGGAAGCTCCACCGGAGCCCTGCCCAGGTCCCGGGCATCTGAAATCGGGCCTCTCAGGGAGGGTGTCTGAACGGACCCTTCCCGGAGTCCCGATTCTCCTAGGCGTCCGCAGCTGGGGCTGTTGGTTGGGTCGTGCGTCCAGGCGATGCGCCCTGGAAGCTTGTCCTCACCCTGAGGCCCCGGAGGTGACCGAGTTTGGTGACGGAGGGCCGAGGGCCCACGGCCGTTCCACGGGGTGTCTACGTGGCACAGGTCTCTGCAGGCCCGTCGCCTTCCTCCGCTTCCCAAGTCTGCAGCTGCCATTCCCTCATTTTGGCCGATGCAGTTTGGCCACAGCCCCAGGCTGAACATTTGTCCGCTTCTGCCATTTTGCCTTTCTGATTTCTGGGTCTAAGTTCTTCCCTTTAATGAACTACCTTAGATCCACGTACAGATTTTTATTGTTCTACCCAATCGGCTATTTTATGAGAATTTCTTTATCTGCCTCCTTTACTAATTTATGGTGATGGTGGCTTTTTCTCACCCTCTTTGGTATCCCCCGGGCTAGCATCCCACCCTGTAGGTGGTTAGTGAACCATGTGCATTTAATAAGCTAAGGAATGAAAGGTTAAGATCTTGAGCTCCTGAAGCAGAAAACCCTTTGTTCTACTAGTTGGGTGACGCAAGGCAGATTTTTAAAAGATATGTGAATTTGTTTCTTATCTGTAAAAAACTAATGGCATCCATCTCTGAGGGCTGTGGAAAGGGTTCATTGACTGCCTAGCAAATGGTATTTGACTATTGTTAGAAGTAGTAATATTAAGTCCCTAACCTGTAACACTTGTAAGAAGGGAGGGGGGTATCAGGAAGGGCCTGAAGAAACAAGGAGGGAAAGGGGGGTGCACCGTATGTGCACATATGCAGGGTGTGGTGGTGGAGGAGTGGACCCCACGGGGACCTGTCTCCCAAGGACAATGAAAGACTGCATCTTCCTGGAAATAAAATTTACTGAAAGATAAATGTTGCTTCTTTAGGTAAAATAGCCAGTCTCTGTTGGCTTTCCAAAGTTAAAAAATTAAGTAAAGTTTAAAAAGTAAAACTTCTCATGGGCAGCCAATGGGCAGAGCACTTCAGTGGCTGATGGAAGGCTCCTTTCGGACCTCACCTCCACGTTCACAATACCCCCGGCAGCCCTCCTCATGGCCTTTGAGCTGGGCTGATAGAAACCCTCAGAACAGAGGCCAGTGTTCATTTTACTCTGTGGTGGATCTAGGCAGGCCGGTAAGGACATGGCAAGTCTTGCCCATGATTTTGGTACAGTAACACCAGAAAAAGGACCAAGAACCAAAGGGGAATCATGCCAGGCTTCCCAGTGAGAACCATAGGAAACAGTTCAAAACCCATTTTCAAAACCCAAACATGGAGCCAGACAGAGAGCATGCCAAGATAAAAAGATAGCAGAGGGAAGACTGAAGTGGAAAAATGCTTGGAGCCATTAGCAGGAAGGGAAGAACTCTGAGGAATTCCTTCATGTGGAATTCAGGTGCTTTTGTGTTAAGCCTGTGCCTCTGGACTGGACATGCCAGAAGCTACCAGTACGTAAATGCATTCATTCATTCAGTCAACAAATACATATTTATTGAGCTTGTATTATATGCCTGGAATAATAGATGTGAGGGACACAGAGGTTAAAAAGTCGGAATAAGGTCTCTATTCTCATGGGGCTTACATTTAAATGGGGGAAATAGACAAACATTAGGTAAGTGAGTAAGTAATCACATAGCTCAGAAAGTAGCAAGAGCTATAAAGAAAATAAAACAGTGTAATGGCCTAAGAGAGGTATCTAGAATGGAAGGCTATTTTAGGTAGCTCTGCCTCAGGCAGCCTCTTAACTTGGGAATATTTCAGCTGAGTTACAGGAAAGAGGCAGTTACTCAGAGATTTAGGGCCAGAGCATTCCAAACAAAGTAAAAACAACAGATAGAAAAGTCCTTGAATTTGGTATGTTCAGGATTGGAGGAAGGTCAGTATGTCAAAAACAGTGAATGACGAGAGAGAGTAGCAGGAGAGAAGGTTGGATGGGTAAACAGAGCCACCTCCTTTAGGGACTTGGAGGATGTGCCTGGATGAGTATCTAAGAGTGTCAGGAAGCCATTTGGAGATTTTAAGACATCATCTGGTTTATATTTTCAAAAGTTTATTAATACTGTATGGGGACCAAGAGAGGAAGCAGGGAGACCAGATTTTTGCCCCAGTGCAAAGGAATGGTAATTGCACTTTACCTTTAGACGAGGTGAAGATAAAACTAGATAAATAGTAGTGGAAATGGAGAAGAGTGGGTGGATTTGAGATGTATCTGGGAGGTAGAATTAACAGGACTTCCTACAGGATGTGGGTGAAGGATTGAGAGAAGAGGAATCAAAGATCACTCCAGTTATTTGACCTGTAGAACTAAGAGGTGCCAAAAAAGATAGGGAAGGCTGAGGGGGGAACAGACTCAAGGGACCCGAATTTTTGCATTGCATATGTTTCTTTGAGATGCCAGTTGGACTTCTAATTGAATGTGTGAACTAAAAAATTAGATAAGTCTGGAATTCAGGAGATAGATTAGAGATAGAATAACTACTTCGGGAGGACATTGGCATGTACAATAGAAAATCTTTAATTGGATTGTGGAGAGAAGTATTTTAATTCGCTTCTCTTAATACTAATTATATCTTTGTTAATTAAGATTCTTGCACTTCCTTTGGATCACTTCTAACATATTTTTACACAGCTCTCTTGTTTGAGAGAATCACTAATTATTCCTAAGTAAATCTCTTTCTCTGCCATTCCCTATCTGAAACACTCTGTGAAGCACATCCTGGTGAGAAGTAACTCCATCTCAAAACACTTCCAACAAGGTAGAATGTTATGACTTTTAGGGCTCATACGTGAAATTGTTTTCTTAATCTGAGACCGTAAATTATCTGGCATGTTTTTCCCAATAGCCAGTCCCACAGACCTCTTCCCTGTTCTTTAAGCTGCTCTAAAATCCCTTCCTGTTTTCTTTTTGGGTCCTCCGGAGGCAAAGCGAATTTTATATACATTAGATATATTCTGTGTTTTGAAGCAAACTATTCTTTTTTAAAAAATAACAAAAAACAAAATGCCAACCCTTCAGTTTGTATATTAGAAGTAGTATACTATAATGGTTGAAAGGCATAGCTTTTGAATCAGCCACTTTATAAGTGTGTAACTTTAGACACGTTATTTAAACTGCCTGTCCTCATCCACAAAATTGTGAAAATAATAAAAGATTTTTATAAAAATAAAATGTAATTTAGATAAAGTGCTTGGCACACTACCTGGCATGTAGTAAACCATCAATGAATGGTGGCTTTAGTTATTATTTTTTTGAGTACTCATGATTCTAGACAGTATCCAAGGTCCAGCACAAACTACACCCTGTATTTATTACAAAATCATAAGCATGTAATTCTGTAACATAACAATATCACACTCAACCACACCATAAGACATTTTAGGTGAAATGTTCAAAGTAAAACTATAAATTATTACACCCATATTATTACCCTATCAACTACACTCAAGCAGGCATTACTTCTGCTGGACCTTACATATTATACATAGTGTATCTTTATACTGTTGAATTGAATTTGCAGTAAACCCAGGCCATAGGCATAAAGTTGTTTTCAAATATATCCTAGTTTACCATTTAATTTATCTCTTCACCTTGAATGAAATAGCAGAAATTTCAAATTAAATGGGAACTCTAACCACTTGGGCTAGTGGCCTTCTCATCTATTAAGCCCTAAGGCCCAGTGTCTCTGTCTCATACAGTAGCCACCAGCCCTATGGGACTGTTAAAGTTAATTCACATAAATAAAACTAAAAATTCAGTTTCTGTGTTTTACTAGCTGCATTTCAGTAGATCAGTGGCCCTGTATGACTAGTGTCTACCGTATTGTACAACATGGATAAGAACATTTCCATTGTGGAAGGAAGTTCTGTTGGAAAGCTTTAGCCCATAACCTGCAATCACTAAAAGGTGGGATCTGCATATATAGTATGTGTATATTTATATACCCAGAGAGAAAGAGAATATGAAAAAATTATAAAATTGAAATTAACAATAAGCGAATTTAAATGTCTACTAAATACATTAAGTTAACTATTAATGTTTACATTAGGTATTTATAAAAATTGGATAACATTTTGCAGAGTAGTACATTAGGAACTATGAAATGGTTTTATTTTTCTAATCACTCCCGCTAATTGTATAGTTAATCCAGTTCTCTTTTTTTTTTAATCACTTTTGGCTACTAGGGTAGTCCCTTTCCAATTCCTAAAGACTCAGTCCAATTCAGAGTAATCTCTTATTTGATTCAAAGCGCTCTCCTTGTCAGCCCCCAACGAATACTGCGATAAGGGCTATGAAGAACACGAAAATATGATAGGTTAGACTTCAGGATGGCTGGCCAGGTGGAGGTGCAGCTTTATCGAAGATAGGCAGGGGAAGACCTCTTCAGAGAGCTGAGATTTGAGCCCAAAACCAGAATTATGAGAATAAGGAAGCCCTAGAATTCTCTTAGGAAAAGTTCACAGAGTAAAGGAGTAAAAGGAAGGTACAGCTGCCCTGAGGTAGGTACACCCTTGGCATAAGAAATAATAAACAATAAAGATTTTTTAAAGGCCAGTATGCCTGGAGTGCAGTGTGTGAGAGGGGGCAGTATACAGTGAGTCAGGGAGGTAGCCGCGGGCCGGATGATGAAGGGCACAGCGACCATGGTTAGGTGTTGGGTCTGGAGATAAAGATTTGAATATTAACAATAAATAGTTTCGCTTCTCCTTTATATTCCACCTTTCTTGTAATTATCCCTCCTCTCTCCTAGAAGCATTATTTTCTCCCTTAATACTACATCGTTCCCATTGGTATATCATTAAGTCATTTAAAATAGCATGATTGAATTTTTTGACAATTCCCCCAGCCTCCCTCTGGCTGCAGCCCTATCTGTCTACTCCGTTCATAGTAAAATTCCCTGTGAAGAGGGGCCTATATTCCCCATATTCACTTGGTTGCTCTCATTATACCCTCACCCCACTCCAGGAATGTTCTTATCCCTACCATTTCATTAAAACACTTATCTCTGTCCCTTGTAACTTTACGCCTGCCGAAAAGGTGATCTTTTCTAACCTTATAGAGTCATTGTACACATCGAATATTCATCTTTCTTGAAATAAAACTTTTCTTCCTCAGGCTGTCATGAGACCACGTTTCTTGAAGTTCCTGCCTTCTCACGGATTATTCTTTCCTGGTCCCTCTCTTCTGCTTGACAGCTTAGTTTTTGACCTTTTTCTCTGTCTGTGCTCACTCCTAAGGTAATTTCATTCTAGATCTCGTGGTTTTAAAGTTCACCTGCATGCCTATGACTAAGTTTTTAGGTCCCAAGTTCTACCTTCATTCCTCCTCATCTCCAGAATTTTCTTCATTAATATCCAGCTTCATACTTGCATTTTCACTTGTCTGTCTAATAGACGTCTCAGAATTAATATTTCCAATGGTCCTCTTGGTTTATCCACTCAGCTCCTGAAGTCAAAAGCATAGGAATCATCCTTGCTCCCCTCTTTCCCTCATGGCCCTCACCACACCCAGCCCGTCAGCAAGACCTGTCAGCCCGGCCTCCAAAAGATAACCGTCCAGTCCTCACTAACCCACTGCTGCAACCTTAGAGTGAGCTCACATCATTTCTCCTTGGATTCCTTCAACAGCTGCCTTCCTGTCTCTTTCAGGAAGATTTGCTCTGGCCGTGCTGTGTGAATTTTAACTATCTCCCGGACACTCTGCCAGCCACCCATTTCCCTCTCCTGCTTTATTTTTCTCCTTCACACTTATTACCATCTCACATACTCTGTATTATCATTTATTTTTTTGGTCTTTTTATGGCATACCCCACCCTCTGTTAGAAAATGTAAACTATACAAAGTCAGGGCATTTTTTTCTGTTTTGTTCACTGCTCTATCCCCAACACTTAGAACAGTGCCCTGCATATAGTAAGCTCTCAATAAGTATTTGTTGAATAGCTTTCCTACTAGTTTCTCAGCCTCCTCTCTTGACCCTCTATTGTCCATTCTCCACAGAGCATCCGCAAGGATTTTTTAAAACCTAAATCAAACATTTTCATTTCCCTACTTAAAAATTTTTCTCCAATGGTTTCCCATGGCAATTAGAGTGAAATTTAAATCATTTGTCCCTGCCTACCGCTTCCTCTTCCTCTCCCGCCACTCTCTTTTTTTGTTTATGCTTTAGCCGTACTTTCTTCCATCCCCTGAACATGCTGGATCTGTTCCCACATGAGAGCCTTTGCACTCTCTGACACCTCAGCCCAAACCAGGGTTTCTAATCTCAGCATTACTGACACTTTGGAGTGTATTGTTCTTGGTTGCTGGGGCTGACCTGTCCATTACAAGATATTCAGCCGTTTCTCTGGCCTTGACCCTGTAGAAGCTAGTAGCCATTCCTTCTGTGGTGACAATCGAGATTATCTCCACACATGACCAAAAGTCCCCGGGGAGGCAAGATCACCCTGGTTGAGAAGCACTGACTTAGACCGTTCTACCCTCAGATCTGTCATGACTGCCTCCATTTCATTGCTGAGATGTTATTTAGTTGCCCCTTTTTACAAGGGCTGTTCCTTAACAGCCATAACTCAAGTACCCCCACCCCCACCAGGATGCAATCCCATTTCTCTGATTTTTTTTCCTTCTTAACACTTACTACTATCTGGAATTATGTTGTCCACTGATATGTATACATGTTTATTTTCTGTAAATACCTTCTGTTCCTTTCTCCTCCAGAATGGAATTACCATGAAGAAAGGGCCTCTTTCTGTCTTGCTCACTACTGTGTCCACTACAACTAGAATACTGCCTTGCATGTATGATATGAGGTGATCGATAAATGTTTGTTCATGGAAATACTACGATAGTTCCCATAGACAGTTATACAAATACATACTTACATTGTACATACAAGGGGAGGTCCTGTGTACAGCAGAAAAGGAATACATACTACATACTGTTCGTCCCCTAATGAGAGCATTTTTGAGAGAAACCCTAAGTAATTTTTTGTACATTCCTTCTGACCTTTAATTATGGCCCATAGTAGCTTTAGAAAGACTTTTCCTGATTGCCTCACTATCACCATCAGCCAAAGAAACAAATAAAACTAGGTATATTAATGAGGATTTTGTCCGTTGCACACAGTAGAAACCCAATTCAAAGTGGCTTAGGCAAAAAGAGAGAGAGGGATTATTTGCTTAATAGAAGCCCATGGTAGATAAGGTGATCCAGGCATGACTGAATCTGCCTATTTAGTCAGTATTATTACCCATCTGTCTTTTTTCCTGTCTAAGCTCTGCTTTCCTCTATGTTAGAGTCTTTATCAGGCAGGCCCTTCCCAAGAGTTTGGAAAGATGGCCATTCCAAGCTTATATTCTATCAGTGAAAAATTTTTACAAGAAAGAGAGATCGTTTCAGCAAAGTCCCATTTTAGCAAAATTATATTTTTCATTCTTCAAATAAATCACTGGGACCAAGAAATGGCTGGAGTATCTGTGCCTTCCCGCAGGTGGAGTGAAGGGTGGACACCTGTCTCAAATCACATGGACTGAGAGTAGGATGGGAGGTTGTCCCACAAAGGAAAACCAAAAGAAGGGATCCTCCCCTAGGAAAAACCACAGGCAGCCACAGCACTAGGCTGTGCACCCTTTCTGGATCGTGTCCGCAGAACTTCATCAGAGTGCTGAGATGTAATTGACTGTTGACTTACAATATAAACTCTGCATAAGCAGGGCTGTGTCTTCTGGTTCACAGTTACATCCTCAGGTTATTCAGAAGATCTTGCACAGAAAAGGCACTCAGGAATAAACATTTCCTATCTCTTCCTTCCGCCTTTGTCTTCCTAGTTCAGAGGGCAGAGTTTCCAGTGGGCCTTGCGAGGTTACACTGCACCTTGCACAGAGGGAGCTCAAAAGATATTTGAATATTAAAGGAAATGACAAGTAAATAATAGATGTCAGCCTTTATTGTTGCCTACAACTCTTAAGAGGTCAGAATGATGTGGCACTCACATGAAAACCTACTAAGTTTTCTTTTGCCTTTTTCCCATCTTTCTCTATATCTGTGACTGTCTTTCTGTCTCTCTCAAACATAGGCTTTCGCCCATCTCTTGGCATGCCTGTTCCTTTCTGTTTCTGTGCCTTTTCTCTGTGGGCTTTCCTCTCTCTCTCACTCACTCTCTTTCTTTCTTCTTCATAAATGATATATTTGTGTGGTTTCTCTGTCGCCTTCAGTGCACTTTTTTTTCTTTCTCACCCTCTCTTTTTCTCTCCCTTCACTACTCATAACACAGAAATGAAATTTTTGTGTATAGATTCATTGTTCTTCATTTCCAAGGCTAGTAAATCAAACATTTAAATTCCCCTCTCTAAAAACACATGGTCTTTGTGGGATAGTGACTGCCAAAAGGAAATAGATGTCCTGTAACATAGGAACCTTCTGGAGATGTTGTCATCTCCAGGAGTTTGCAATAAATAATGAGAATTTAATGAAATGTTCTAGGACAGAACTGCACACAGAGGAAACTAGTGTGAAGTTATAGGAGCCTATGCTTTAACTATAAGATCAAATAAAAGATAAAAGCAGTTATTAAGCAAAGAACAGTATTTAACGTTTTAAAATTGATTGTTTCCTTTATTCAAAAATTAAAAAGGATTTTGTCTTTTGACAGTGAGATTCCTAAGGACTCCTTGAAGGCCGTTCTGTTGGAGTTAGAATGTCACTTTACATGGAATCTGCTTAAGGAAGACATTGATCTGTTTGAAGTGGAAGATACAATTGGGCAACAGCTTGAATTTCTTACCACAAAATCTAGACTCACTCTTTATAACTTATTGGCCTATGTGAAACACCTAAAAGGCCAAAATAAAGACGCCCTAGAGTGCTTGGAACAAGCAGAAGGAATCATCCAGCGGGAACACTCAGACAAAGAAGAGGTACGAAGTCTGGTCACTTGGGGAAATTACGCCTGGGTGTATTATCACATGGACCAGCTTAAAGAAGCGCAGAAGTATACAGAGAAGGTAGGGAACGTCTGCAAGAAAATGTCCAGTCCTTCTAACTACAAACTGGAGTGTCCTGAGATTGACTGTGAGAGAGGGTGGGCACTCCTGAAATTTGGAGGGAAGTATTACCAAAAGGCTAAAGCAGCTTTTGAGAAGGCTCTGGAAGTGGAACCAGACAATCCAGAATTTAACATCGGCTATGCCATTACAGTATATAGGCTGGATGATTCTGACAGAGAAGGGTCTGTAAAGAGCTTTTCCCTGGGCCCTCTGAGGAAGGCTGTTACCTTGAACCCAGATAACACCTACATTAAGGTTTTCCTGGCACTGAAGCTTCAAGATGTACATGCAGAAGCTGAAGGGGAAAAGTATATTGAAGAAATCCTGGACCAGATATCTTCTGAACCTTATGTCCTCCGTTATGCAGCCAAATTCTACAGGAGAAAAAACTCCTGGGACAAAGCTCTGGAACTTTTGAAAAAGGCCTTGGAGGTGACACCAACCTCTTCTTTCCTGCATCACCAAATGGGACTTTGCTATAGGGCACAAATGATCCAAATCAAGAAGGCCACGCGCAACAGACCTAAAGGAAAAGACAAACTGAAAGTCGATGGGCTGATCGCTTCTGCTATTTTTCACTTCAAGGCAGCTGTGGAACGAGACTCTATGTTTGCGTTTGCCTACACAGACCTGGCCAACATGTATGCTGAGGGAGGCCAGGATAGCGATGCTGAGGACGTTTTCCAGAAAGCCCTCCGTCTGGAGAACATAACCGATGATCACAAACATCAGATCCACTACCACTATGGCCGTTTCCAGGAGTTTCACCGTAAATCAGAAAATACTGCCATCCACCATTACTTAGAAGCCTTAAAGGTCAAAGACAGGTCGTCCCTACGTACCAAACTGACGAGTGCTCTGAAGAAACTGGCTACCAAGAGACTTAGTCACAATGCTTCAGACGTGCAGAGTTTAAGTGCCCTAGGGTTTGTTTACAAGCTGGAGGGAGAAAAGAGGCAAGCTGCTGAGTACTATGAGAGGGCCCAAAAGGTAGATCCAGAAAATGCAGAATTCCTCTCTGCTCTCTGTGAGCTTCGACTTTCCATTTAACTACATACTCTAAGAAATCAGTGTTAAAGCTCTTCCCTCTATTTTGGGTTCTTATATTTCTGTTTATTGTTTTAATCCATTCATTATAGGGTCAATTTTTAGGGAATGGTCATTGTGTACCAGGCATTATGTTAACTACTTTATATACATTATGATGAATCATTGGCTGTTTTCTACTTTCTTAATTAAAATACTCTAATTCTTTAAGGAACAGCAACATTCCAGCTGTTGTAACTTTTAAAAATGGCATAGCCATTATGACTGTATCCCCTTTATCTCTGCTATTTATAATAATGTTCTGATTAAGTTTTGTTAAATTTCCCATATTCATGCAGTGAGAATAATCCTACATAAATCTTTGACACCTAGTTCAGGAACACTGTTTCAGGGGTGCCCATTTATATTAAGTTCTTAATTATGTAGCATGTAAAAGATGGAATCTTCCCAGCTACAGATGTTCTGACTTTGAAGAGGATATTTAACCATTAACCTAAAGAATCCTCTTTGTTGGAAGAAAAAAGTTCATAATAAAGTTTGTCATCTCTGATGACTGCAATAAAAGAAATAACTAGAACATGAGAAAAAAAGATTTCCTCAAATACAGAGCTTTGGGATCCATGAAAAATCAGAAGTATTATCTCCCAAAATGTTAAGTAGCTAGAAACAGATGTGAGGGGAAAAATGAAGAATGGGAAATCATTAGTCTCGAGTTTCTCTGGTTCTTTAACTGGAAGAATAAACTTACACTGAATCAAGATGGAGTTTTTTTTTTTCAAATTAGAATTGCAGTATTTTTAGGTTATAATCATTTGAGATTAAAAATCAGACCAGTTGAGAAATTGGAAAGAAAGACAAGCAAATGCATAAAAGTCCCTAGTCTAGTGATTTAGTATTGGGTCTGGACTGGGTAGAGTTCTTATACCCCTCATTTCTGGCCTTTGGTTAACTGTTTTAGAATTCCAGGTTACTTCTGTGACGCTTTCTCTTTTGTCTGAAGTCTTCAGGTTGACATATTTTCCTGTTGATCCTCCGGGAATAGGTAAGCCCAGCTTTCAGTTTCAGTATCTCCCTTCAAGGATCACTGTTGAAGGGCTTTTATCCCAAGGGACTTTTTCAGTTGGGATTTGCTTAAAGTGACTTCTCTGATGTTGTTTCTTTGATTATATTTACCACCAGTATTAGTGGAAAAGTGTGCCATGTTACTTAATTCTCTATACCTCCAGTGTAGCTCTTAAAACTAACGTGTGTGTGTGTTTTAATTTTTGTTGCTATTTTTATTTTTTATTTCTATTACGGTTTTCATTATTATAAAAGTAGTGAATTATCATTGTAAAATTTCAAACAATGCAGAAGTGTATGAATTTAAAAATACGAGCACTCCCTTCACCCTACGCCAATTCTGCACCCCCAAGGTAAACGTAACAATTTGATACATACTTTCCAGATAGCTTTTCTATGCACAAACATACTTATATACTGCAGTGTAGCTCATGAATTAAATTTGTTTAATGTTTGTTTTAAGTCCCCGTTGTTTTGTTTATTTTGCTCATTTGTTCATTCGAAAAGGAAAACAGGGAAGGGAATTATCTTTAAGTATTTTAGAAATTCAAGACTAGCATATATTATTTTGCAGAAGTCGTTTTCCCTCATTGGGTATAATGTTGTAATCAAGGTTATGTTCCCAAGTAGGCATTTGACATGTGGCAAAATACAATTATGGTATCAAAACAAAGATAAAACTATAAGCCTCGATATCTAAAGATTAGACTTTGAGGTCTATGAAATGATTTTAAAATTTACTAGATATTAAAATATTGAAATGTATAAGAAGTTATGCTAAGAAAGTATAAAATCAGCATATAACAAACAACTATAAACATTGAACAAAAAGTGATGTTTATAATAACTAAATTTTGTCACTAATTTACTTATCTTCCTAAAGTTTATAACTATTTAGAAATAATTTCATAGGCTTTTGGGTTTAAAAAAGACCTCAGAGTTCACCTTTATCAATTAACCATCAAAACGTCAAGTTTTGATGGTTTGAATTATCTTCATAAATGATACTTTCATCTTTAGATAGTCCATATTCTTAGAAATGTATTTCCACCATTTAACTGAAGACTTATGGCCTGAAGTTTATATATTTTAGTCTGTCTTTAGGTACCTCAATGATCTAATCTTTTTTAGACAAACCAAAAATATGCCCAGGGAAGTGGTTATAGTTGCTCTTCGGCATAATTTCACCCTTCTGTTTAGAGAAGTGTTCCTCTTTCTTAAATCTCCAAGGTGATCTTGGAAACTGTTTTTGTTGAACAGTTAAAGCTATGCTACAAGCCTCACAAAAGCTAAGAAAAATCCTTTCATCAAGTGAATCACCTGGCAGGAAAGCTGGCTTCAGAGTAGTGGAGCCCTTCATCATACTGTCTGTCCCCCCTGGGTGCGGAACTAGTCTTGGCAGTTGATCACTTGCTCTCTGCTAGAATTTCAAAGGCAATATAAGCAGTCACTGTTCCTTTCTAGATTAAGTCCTTGAAAATTATCTCAATTTAAGAAAAACTGCGTAGACCCACAGAACTTCAGAACGAGCAGAACCCTGAGAAAATGCCTGCTGTAGCCAACTGTGATAAAAAAGCTGGAATCCAGGTTGGTGATGTGACTTAAGATTTCATAACTAACTACCTTCTTCTGGTTCAGCATCACTTCCCTATTTGACAGTTTCTACCTATAATCAATAATATTTGTTGCACCAATTCAACCTTAATTGACAGTTTATCTGGTCACGATGTGATTATGCTACGTGACATCAGCCGTGACACAAGCAGGTCCAAGGATGGTTCTTTTATAGAGTGTGCTTATTGAGATTAAAAAACATGACAAATATAAAACGTTAAAACGTGGCATGTTCTTTTTACAATTGGTGGATTATAAGAAATGAGAATCCATTGGCCTAGAAAATTAGAATAGTCTCCTTTGAGTAGTTCAAGGGGAGCACTTTGTAACCCTAATGTGGCAGCCATGAGAAGCACCTCTCAGATCTGCAGCAACAAGGATTATCATTGACCGAGGGTCCCATCTGCTCCACGCTGACATCCATCATTGCATTTTGCACTGAGGCCAGGCTTCCCAGCATGGCAGGGATGTGAATTCAGGCCCCGACCCGCGAGAGGCAGGATTCCTCTGACAGGTGACTTGTGCTCAAGGATTCCCCACCGGCCTTGCCATATTTTCCTTACAACAATATTGTGGTCTGAGATGCTTCCACCTAACTTTTCTTCCTTCTCTCTCTCCTGCATCACAGTCTGCTGGCTCCCCCAGCCTCTCCCTGCCCCCTTCCATTTCCTTTCACGGGTGTTGCTACAATAAATTTTCTCTAATTAATACTCTTCTGGTGTCTGCTTTTGGAGGTCAAATTGACTCATCTAGTGAAAGAAATGTAATTAGATGACTCATTAGATGTACGTTAAATCTTTACATATTATAAACGCCATTTATTTTTCAGCTTTTTGGGTACTTATGGTTAAAGAACAGAACATCAATCTTTCCAACTTTGATAATGTTTGAAAAAGAAAGGGAGGAAGGAGGTTAAGGGAAGGCTAGAGACCACAAAAACTCGTCTTACAAAAAGGGAAGTCAAGAGATAGTTAAAACTTGATGAAATAAAATTTTATGCATTATAAATAATAAAAGTTGAACAATGAAAGTAAAAAATGGGAGGAATTGGGATATGAGTTCCTTAAATTCAATAATTAATCCTCACTTAGCAGGAAATCAATAAATAGATGAAGAAAGAGCATTGTAAGCACCCCATAGACACCCATTGCAAGTTGGGATAGCATCCTCCCAAAAACCCGACCTTTCTTCCTTTCTCCTCCCCACAGAACAGCAGAGCCAGTTTGTATTTAATGGCCACGGTCTTTTATGAGTTAACTGTAACACTCCCTATTCTCCTTTCCCCTGTTCCTCTCCCAAGGCCACAATCTCTCATTCCTCTCCCATTCTCTCCTTAGCCAAGGTTCCTGGATTAATGAGATGGGATTTCTTTTCCTTAGTTTACTTTTTCTTGTGAACAAGCTATCCACCTGCACCTTATCATTTCTCCAAACAGAACTACTACCTCCTTTGTCAGTTTCAGAGAAAAATTTGTTCTTTGAGCATTTTGTTGTATTTCAAGTAAATTTTAAAAACAGTATCTAATTCCTCAGAAGACACACAGAAATGCAAGTGTGCCCGTGTCTGCTCTAAACCTAGGGTTCCCCTATAGTCCTCTAGTGTTGACTAGAATTCCCAACATCTTTCACAGTGGCATGTAGGCAGAGTGAGCAACAAGATAGTGAAAGAGAGATGTGTGCTTATGGGAGCACACAGGTGCCTCATGGATAAACTCTGAAGGACAAGCATGGGCTGATGGCACTTGGATTGAACACTGAGCACACTGGCCTTTCCTGGCCTTCAGAAAAAGCTATTCCTATACCAGAGGGTAAAAGAGAAGGTATAGAGATGAACACCTAAGAAGCTCAGAAGTGAGCTTTGTAGACCAGTTCCCTTTATGTACACATGTCTCTACCTCACCACCAGATTGAAGCAAAGCCCTTAGAGGAAAAGCTAATTCAGCCACGTCTATAGATCCTAGTGACACATGAATAAACAGCTAATTCTTACATAGTATATAATATATGTACCAGGTGTACTATTACATGGATCAAATTTATAAAATTCTCATGAAAGTCCTATAGACATTTTTATTGTTTCCCTTTACATATCAGTAAACTGAATTTTAGATTAAGACACAGCTCATGAGAAGTCGGAAAAGTATTTAAACCCTGGAGTCTGGTGCTAAAATCTAGCATTTAATCTCTATGCGATATTTTCTAAATAGTCTTAAAATTTTGAATGAAGACTGGAAAGATTGGATCAGTCTTTAAAGAAACTTTAGGCGAATGCTGCAAAAAAGATCACACTGAGCCTAGACAAACTACAATCATAGATCACCCAACGCTGTTTTACATACAGCCCTAAACCCCCCTGGGAAGAAACATGAAAGGGAGCTAGCTGTCCACATCAGCTGACCCTTGATGCTGGGGTTAAAGCTGCTCCGAAGCGCCTGGACAGAATGGCCTAAGAAACCAAGGGACTCAATCTAAGAGGCCTGTCTTAAGAGTTGGATGTTGGAAATCAGAGATTTGGAATACATTCCTCAAACTTCCTTTGGAAGGCTGAGGAGCCAGTGAACAATTAGAAGCCAGGACACCCAGCCTTTTGTCTTTACGGAAAAGGATATACCTCCCATGCACACACCAACCACAATCACAGCTGGATTTGGCCAGGCTGGGGAGCAGCACAAGAAGGCGGGTGTGAGTGCTGTGCCACCCGTAACCACTAGAGAGGCTGAGATCGCCTGCCTCTTCATATCCTCTGGGTTTGCCTCGAGCCTCCAAGTCAGTGTCTTTCGAAAGTGCCTCTGAGCCCCTAATTCCACTGAATATTAATTGAGTTTAAGAGTAGCTTCACCCCTCTTTACATGCTTTCCCTCTTCCATACCACATTAACTCCAGCAACCTCGTGCTTCAGTCTCATCAAAACAACAAAACCTAAAAAACCCCAAAATAAAAATCATAGGTAATGTGTGTATAAAAACCCTTTATTGAGAAGATTTTGGGAGAGGAGAATCTACAACTTAAAGCTTATTAGATAATTTGTAGTTTTCTTTTGAAAGAGAGAGTGCCTGCATAGAAGGAGAGACTGAGAGGGAAGGGAAGAAAGGGAGGGAGAGAGGGAGGGAAGGAGGGAGGAAGGAAGGAAAGAAGGAGGAGGACAGAGAAAAGGTAAGACCCTTAAACTTTTTTTTAATGTTCCTGCCTCTTTCCATGATTCTAGGCCTTACTGCTTTTCTTAGCTGTACTCTTGAAATATAAAGCAATTCCATCATTTTACTTAAACAGCGATTCAGTTCTCTCTCATCCTCATACTCAGCCACGGACCCATCTATGCATAACCAAATGCATCAAACTGCTTAGTTCAACAAAGAGGTCTTTTATTTGAACATGATATACTCTCCTTTGAAGGGAATTGTTATAAGTAAATAGCATCTCCTTGTAATTTCACAGGAATTACATATTTTAAAGTAAATTCAATGTTATGATTTGTGTATAGTATAAGAATGACGTTATGCTTCTAAATTGACACAACATATTCCCCTATGTCATTTTGTTTCAACATTTCTCAAAATTTGAATTCTGATGTGTTTGAGATTCTGCGTTATACTTGAACTGAATCCTTTGTCTACTCATAGCAAATCAATTAACACATTAGCGGGAGGCCAAGAATGTGACCCAAAATGGCAACGTGGGTTGACAAGGAAGGCAGAGGGCTCAAAAATTTTTTTCCATTAACTTTTACCAATGGTTATTCATAGACAAGTCAACCAAAATCATCATTATACTAACTTTGATACTCCAGGTAAAGACCTGGGCAAGCTACTCAAAAACACCATACAGCATCTTTATTCCCACATTTTTACTTGCAAGGCGAAGAAGATAAACGAGGGATGGGTAATGAGCAGGACTGGGGATGAGAAGAGTATGAAACAACAGGAAACATTAATGTTTGTTGTAAGGCTGGCCCTGTCCATTTGAACTATAATTGGAAGCATCACCGACTTTTGGGAGGTGGTCTCACTAATTCCAGCAGATGGCAGTGCGGCATAACGTGCCAATAAAGAAAAGAAAAAGAAGAAAAAAACTTCTTGAATTCCCGGACCGTTTGAGAAAACTTGCTCAATATCACGAATCATCAGAGAAATGTAAATCAAAACCACAATAAGATACCACCTCAAGCCAGTCAGAACATCTATTATCAAAAAGTCAAGTGTTGGTGAGGATGGAGAGAAAAGGAAATGCTGGTGCACTGTTGGTGGGATTGCGCATTGGTTCAGCCACTATGCAAACTAATATGGAGATTCCTAAAAAAACTAAAAATAGACACACCACATGGCCCAGCAATTCCACTTGTGGGTATTTATTCATAGGAAAAAACATAATTTGAAAAAATATATGCACCCAACATTATTTACAATCGCCAAGATATGGAAACCACCTAGGTGTCCATTGATAGAAAAACAAATAAAGAAGATGTGATACACACACACAATGTAAAATCAATGAAATATTACATAGCAACAAAGAAAGAATGAAATCTTGCCATTTGCAACAACATGGATGGCTCTCCAGGGTATTATGCTAAGTGAAATAAGTCAGGCAGAGGAAGGCAAATACCATGTGGTTTCGTTTGTATGTGGAATGTTAATGATCAACCAAACCAACAAAATAAAAAAGACTTATAGAAACAGAGACCAAAAAGATGGTTACCAGAATGGAGGAGCTGGGGGAGGGATGACAAGGAGAAGAGGAATATAGTGATATTGTGATAAATTCACATGGTGATAGATGAGTACTGGAATTAGTGGGGTGATCCATTGTAAGGTATGAAAGTGTCAAAATCACTGTATGGTACACTTGAAACCAACATAACCAATGTAAGGCTGTGTGCAAACTACACTTAAATAAAAAACGAAGAACAGCCCTGGCTGGTGTGGCTCAGTAGATTGAGTGCTGGCCTGTGAAACCGGAAAGTCGCCGGTTCAATTCCCAGTCAGGGCACATGCGTGGATCACCAGGTCCCCAGTTGGGGGCAGGTGAGAGGCAACTGATCTATGTATCTCTCTGTATCTCTTACACATTGATGTTTCTCTACCCTCTTTCTCCCTCCTTCCCCCTCTCTCTAAAAAGTAAATAAAATCTTTAAAAAAAACCAAACAATAAAAAAACAACCGCACCAAAAAAGAGAAAGAAAACTTACAAGTGATCCCTTTTTAGTGTTGAGAGGTAAATATGGGAGTATAATACCATGTCCTGAAATTTCCTGTTTTCAATTTAGAGAAGCCAAGTGCAACCCCCAAATCCCAGCAGTCCCCAAAGTCCCAGGCACCCTTTTGGCTCCCCTCACCAGAACATTTACTAGTGTCAACTTGTGTTTTGTTCCGCGTTGACCTTCGGTATTAGCTGGAACCTCACTTCAGAAAGCCACATACAGTGGCTGCCCCACATCTTTTTGCCTTACTCCCAGCTTCTTCCCCTAAAAAGAGTAGAGGCTGATTTCCATACCTGGCCTAGGTTCCTCAGAATCTCCCCAAATTTCTTTGGAACATGATTTCTTCCCCACCTAACCCCCAGAGTATGCGCTGCTCTTAGCCTCAGCATTTAATAATGCTTGAGGTTGCTCTCACCTGTGTTAGTTTCAATTTACCAATTAGGCATAAACTTGAGGTTGGCGAGGGGGCACTATGTGTATTTTGAATTCCCCAACATACACAACAAGGTGGTGGATTCCGAGGAGGTGCTTAATAGGTAGCTGTTGGTTGGTTAGCATGCTGTCTAATTATCAGTAGTGCCCTATATGAGAGAGGCCCGCATAGACTAGGCAAAAGACTCTAGTCAGGGACTTCTGCTCCTAGCCAAACCCTAGAATAAAGTTTTCGTGCACAGTAAAAACACGTGTGGTGCCTGCCTATACCTGAAACTGCATCTTTGCATGCATGAGGCACATGCGTTCCATCTCTTCCCAGTGTTCAGAGCTCCTTGAGGGAGCAGCGCCCCATCCCCAAGCCCTGCACTCCATTTGAGTACAACAGAGCTATTTAATTAAGCCTGTTTGTCTGGGTTGAACACAGTTGTATCATTTCTACATCAGCTCTCAATCAGGTAGCAGCTTTGGCAACAGGTATAAAAATCGATCGTTCAGGAGAGTTTTGTTTTTTCTTATGACTTAAACTTTGAAGTATGAGAAGAGAAACTCAGGTATCTATGTTGAATTCACTCTATTTCATTTCAATAAACAATTTCAGAATTATACCTATTGGAACCAGGAAGGTGAGTACCAACTTGACAGTACCATCTTTATCATCCCTGGGCAATGGTGTGGGAGCTTCAGAAAGAACCCAACTCCTGAGTGAGGAGGCTGCAGAGAGTGGAACTCCCTTTGTGACAAAGTGTGCTCCCCAACTGTTTCCCTGCTCCTTCCACACAAACGTTTCCAAAGAGAAACCTGGGTCAACAGACAGTAAATTAAATCATTTATCCTAGAAGAGATCTTGATAGAACCGGATTTTTTTTTATTGTTGTTTAGTTACAGTTGTCCCCATTTACCCCCCTTGACCCTCCCCTGCCCTACCCACACCCCACCTCCCACATTCAGTCCTCTCCCTACCTCTCCCATTGTCTGTGTCCATGGGTCCTTCATACATAGGACAAGACCCTCAAGAAAACTCTTGGAAATTTCCAGCCTGGAATCTTCCTGTCTGTACTAATTGGAAGATTGAAGTATAGTCCAAAAGATGTTATCTGCCCAAGGGAGGGCCTGATTTCCAAGTGGCTTCTCTTTATTTATTTATTTATTTGTTTGTTGGCACTATGGCAGATGTTCCCATTCCTCCCTTTTCCCTCCTCCTCCCAGCCCCCAGCCCCCTTCCTTCTGGCCATTGCCACACTGCTGTCTGTGTCCATGGGCCATGCATACCTGTGCTTTAGCTAATCTCTTCACCTTCTTTTATCCCCTCCCCCCACTCCACCCTTTTGGCAGCTCTCAGTTTGTTCCGTATGTCCATACCTCTGTTTCTATTTTGTTCGTCAGTTTATTTTGTTCATTAGATTCCAGATATAAGTGAGATCATATGGCATTTGTCTTTCTCTGACTGACTGAACTCAGTACAATAATCTCCAGGTCCAACCATGTTGTCGCAAAAGATAAAATTGCCTTCTTTTTGTGGCCCGGAGTATTCCACTGTGTAAACGTACCATTGATTTTTACCCACTCATCTACTGATGGGAACTTAGGCTATGGTTTCTTAAGTCCACATAAGACAACAATCCAAGTGGGCAGGAGGGAAGGAGGCAGCCTCCAGCATCACACAGCTTCTTAGTTTTACAGGATCTCACTAGAAGTACTGGAGTGCAGTGGCTACTGAGGCACTGGCTGTAGGACCTGGTGCCTCAGTTTCCACACCTATAGAATAGAGTGGTGATGATGGAGATTATCATGGGGATTGAATAAGACAATGCATAGGACATGCTTAGCACAGAAGCCAACACATTGGCAGTGCTCAATAAATGGTTTGAATTTTGTGAAATACAAGGTCTGGCAGAGGGCCTGCTTCAGTGTGGTTGGTAGAGTAATAATATGGGTGCAATAATTTATAGTTTTAATTTGAACATTTCACCTAAAATGCCATAGGGTGTGCTTGAGCGTGATATTGTTCTATTACAGGATTGCGTGCTTATGATTTTATAATGAAAGATTTTTGTAACGAAAAAGGGACACTCTTTGTGCCAGAGCCTACAGTTGACTGCCACCACACCCTTACGTACCAGCCGTGTCTTAGTGTGATCCAGGCCGGCCCGCTCACCCACCAACCCAAACCCCTATGCAGGGGAAAAAACGTTCCAAATATAACTGTAAACTCATTTTATTAAGCTTTTAAATAAGAAAATATTAGTACAAATTTCTGATGAGAGAAATCACAATCTAAAAAAGAGGCCGAATGGTTCAGTGTATCTACAGTACTTTGTTTCCTATTCAGGTAATTTCAGAGTAGAGCTTGCAGTGCTATAAAGAAATATTTAAGATCTAGGATCATTCCACCACAATTTTGTCCTTGATTCTACAAAACATATCAGTCTCATGAATTCCTCCATTTTAGAATACACAGTTTAGGCACATGTAACCTTAATAGTGAAGTTTAGTGTAGATGACACTGATAGTCTCTAGTATCTCCATTTTCCTACTGGTTCTTTAAAAGTACTGTCCCCAAAAGGAAAATAAAAGACAAATTTATGCATGTATAAAGTCAAAATATCCCAAATATTTTATACAATTTCTTAAAAGCTCTGATCTATCATTTTTCATAAATATTTAAAATACTTTAGTGAAATTATATTTCAGGATCAGATAAAATTTTACTATGATCATTACTAGGAAAAGTATGTAAAATAATATTAATAACAGTGTAGATTTCGAAAAATCTTTAGACTTGAAGTTGTAAGAAATGACATTTAGTGTAAAGTGCTATTCTAAACCTACATAGCTTCATTTTTAACTTTGACTTTTTATAGATATTTTCCAAATACAGATATTTTTCATTTGTTTTAAATTACAAATAACAAAGTTCAAAACTAAATTTTCAAACTAAGTAAAAAGATAAAAAGTAACCAAATTTCTTTGGAAAACAACTATGAAATATTAGTTTTCTCCTATCAAATCAAGTCAGTATTTCATTCTGAAAGCCACATATGAATATGTAATTTTATGAAATAATCCAGTAGAGACAAAGACTCTTGCTGAACACGCTTAGTCAACCTAGTAGCTTCCTCACTGCTGTGCTTTTCTCTCACCCCTGGCATAGCATTTGTGAGGCCTCTTGGGGGACAGTGGATTAAAAGGCCTTTGGGGACAAAATATTTCCTTGAAACTCAGATTTAAATATGTTAAATAATTAAAATCTCCTTTCAATTGGAGAACATGCCCATATATACAAGTGCAACATAATCTGGGGTTCAGGATTATCATTCTGTGTATTTAAAATAGTTAGAGACAGACTGGGGGATCGGGCCATCTCTTCTCTCCCCATGCCTTCCCTCTTCAATCTGAAGACTCAGAAGTTATCACAGACCACTGGAAAGTAGAGTATTTGGGAATTAGTAAACTGTTCTAATCTGTTAAGGTATGTGAAAGTGTTCTACAAACTGTAAAATATCACACTACTAGCTCTCTTGTTTTTATTTTAATAAATTTTTATTGATTTTTTTTTTTTTTATTTTTAGAGAGAGAAACATTGATTTGTTGTTCCACTTACTTATGCGGTCATTGGTTGATTCTTATGTGCTATGACCAGGGATCGAACCTGCAACCTTGGTATATCAGGACCATGCTCTAACTAACTGAGCTCCCTGTTCAGGGCCAGTGAAATATCACACTTCTAGCCTTCTTAACCTTCTCCTCCCTCTCCCCTGACCAAACTATAGTTTTTGAGAGTGCTGTGGCGCTGAGGTTGACCCCCGTTGCCTTACCATTCTGATGAAAAGGTCCACCAAGTTTCTAATAATTATCCATGAAGAGATGAATAGTGGACAAATGAACAGGAAGTAACACAGGAGATAGGAGTCTCACCTTTAGAATATCTCTAGAATAGTATTTTTCAGGCAAAACCCCCAAATCCTATTTTGGGTAATGATGGACCTAAATGTCTCATCTGTAAAGAAAACACCAGAGACCTGCTGATTCAAGAATTCAACTCTTGGCCAGTTGGAATACTGCCAACATTTTTCCATTCCTTAACAGAAATATGTCTGCAATTTAAGTAAGAGCTTTTTTTCCAAGGGGAAAAAAATAGGAAGTGTTGATGTTGACATTTCAGGTAAAAACTGTCCTTGCAACTTGGTGTGTTATGCTAAATTTGACCTAAGTATTGCATGTGATAGTAACAGGAAAAAGCTTTCAGTTTCCAGTTCACAATTTCAAATAGAAGATCTTACCAGCCACCCTTAAGGTCATTTCTAACCATGGCATTCCATGATTCTTTGGATTCTCGAAGTGGTGGCTACCCATTGCCAAGAGCAAGGAGTGGCTAAGGAGTAAAGGCAGGGGAAGAAGGGGGAGAAAGTCACTCCCATTCGGTATTAATCACTGCCTTCTGAAGAATCTAAAGTATTCTTCAACAACCCTGTTTAAAACCCTAATGAGAAGCTCTGCTATGAAAAAGGTTTGGAATCTTCACCTTCCACTACCACACCCAAGCTGACCCCCTTCTCCAAACAGCGTAAAGTAAGCAAACCTACATATCAATGTTTCCTTTTATCCTTCTAACTACAGAAGGAAGATGGAGGGACACACAGCTTGAGACAAAGCTGCTGCCCAGTGTCATTGCTTTGGTCATGCCTTGAAATTACTCCTCATTACAACTATTGTATCAGCTATGTTCTAATATTCTCCATGGAGTGATGCTCACTGCCTGAAAGATGTGAATTCCATTGTGAATACAAACCCCAAATGAGGAAACTCAGCTAGTCCAGCTTGCTTGGTTATTTGCTATTTCCCCCTATAAATATGTTAACAAAACAATAACAATAATTTCCTTGGAAGGCAATGCTTCTGCCAAAATAAAAGGCTTTAGCAATATGTACAATCCAGCGGTCCCGCCTCTCTCAGCCCTGTGGGTTCCCCGGCTCAAGGCCATTGGTCATGTGGGGTTGTAACCAGGCCCAGCAATAGTCACAGATTCCCCATCTTTCTGATCTAATTCATTAGCTACAGAATAAGCCACCGATCCATTGGTCCACAACTGCAGCTTGGGATCAGATTCTTTGGCAAGGAACCGCAGCTGGGTTTTTTTCATCTTCTTTATAAGTCTAGCAAATCCAAGCAACAGAGAACTAAATATCATTGAAAATCCGCAAAGAAGAAACGCTGCAGTGTAGCTGCCCGTTGTGTCTACCAGCCATCCTGTAACAAGTAACAGCAAAATCACATTGTTGAGTTGAAAATTCAATTACCCACTCTGAAATCTAGTAATTTGTAAGGATAATAACAATGGATTGCTACCATTATCTTGACACAAAAAGCTGATATCCTAAAAATATTGTGCAGCAACTGTAAAAATGCATTCTATTTTCTAGGGAAACCTCTAAAATGGATTGTTGTTATTATGTAAAGTGCCTGGAAGAGTGTCACATTCTTAGTAATCACAAAATAAATATTACTTATTATTACTAATCCCATAAAATGTGGTAGAAAGATAAAAGTAGCATCATTCCAATTATTGATACTGGGATCAATTATCTAGGGTGTTAGGAGAAAAAAATCATACAAAATGTTAGTAGTACTCCCAGCAGCCATATGTCTCTCTTCAATACATGCTTCTGGATAAAGCAGAATCCAAATTTTCAATTGGTTCCGATCACTGTACCCATCCAGTTTGAAAACCAGAACTTTGGGCCATTTTAGAAAGTTGCAAATACAAATTTCACAAAGCACAGTTCTGCTCTCACAGCTTTTTTTTTTTTTTAATTCTTGTTATAAAAGATTAATCGCAACATCTATTCCAGCTGTAAATTTTAGGAGAGCCAGGGTATGCATAGTTATGCAATATACGGGCTGCAATGATCAGAGAACCAATGGGGTCAAATTAGACTTTGGTGGGCAATTATTTTATGATTAAAAAAGTTAAATTTCTCTAAGTGTTACTTATATGCCAAGAAAAATCCACCTGAGAAGTGTATATATGTATATATATGTTGGCGTCTCCTCTTACCCACTTCAAATCCATTAGTCAAAAATGGTACGTAGGAATTTTTATAAGCCTCGCAAACTTTCCTGCAATCCAAAGTGCTCTCAAATATTCTAGTTATCTTGTGATTTACTTGTGCGTTTCTGTAGCACCAAACAGAAGAGACTTACTGAGTAGAGCTGTCATTTTAAAGGTAATTGAGTAAGAGGAGTATTACAATAAGAACTCACAGGCTAATCCTCTAACATCTAGCAATGAGTACAATTGTCTGATTAGCCAAATAAACACCCTAGACTGAAAAAAGGATCTTGGAATCCCAGTTTCATCTTATGTCCTATGAATTTTTAACAGAATTACACTGCTCCTAAGGGTTAGCAAACAAAAACCGGCTATGCAGGGAGGAGGACAGGAATATCGTGGGGACAGTTTTCATAAAAGAAACACTAAGCATAGAGTCCTGTATCATGGAGTTGAAACTGACCAGGAATTTTCATCTGCAACCTTCAAACAGCCACAGAGTCCCCTTGTTTGCTGCTGCTTTAGCAATTGCTGGGGTTTGGAAATAACCCTAAACTATCTACTCACCACAGCAGCAAAAGGAGAAATGCTGCCTTCTTTTAAAAATTCCCTTCTTTCCTTCTACGCAAATGTTCAGCTTATTTGTTTTTGCCTATCTGCAGAGACCTTTATACTCTTGGCTTTAATTTAGGCAGGTAATAATCCGGACGTATTAGCGTCCATCGAGTAAGACTGAGCATCACAAGAAAGCTGGCTGAGAGTTTAGACTCCTGAAATTTACCCCCAAAGATTCAGATCACAAAGGGAGGGTCAAGGAATCTGCATTTTTCACAATGTCCCCAGGACTTCAATCTGAGAAACCTGGTCTAGACCACATACTCAAGGAAGGAGGAATAGGTTCTGACTCATTTGTTGCTATAGCAACAGCCCCAGCACAGTGGTGGTGTCCCCAAGCAACAGATATTTATTGAATCACTTGTTTTATCACCCTTTAAACTTTTATAGCACTTTACAGTTTGCAAAACCTTCTAGATGCTTTATCTGATGACTCCTTAATCTGTATGTCAAATCCGGCCTTCTTCTAAAAGCTTAGATTTCATCCTTAAAAAGCTCTACTGGTCATTGTATTGGGTATTTTATATGTCTCAATATGTCTAAACATTAAATGTTATTTTTTTTTCTGACAAGACCACTTCCTCCAACTTCCTTATTTCTTTTAACCATGCCATTATTTTCTAAATAATTCTGGACTTCTTCCTCTGCCTCACCCTCATATGCTAAATTCAGTTGCTTTGCTGTTGTAGTTGTTTACAAAACTTCCTCCTTGCCCCCAGAGCTCTTTTTTATTTCTGCTGCAGCAGCCCTAGTTTGGGCCTTTATCAGTTTGCCCCTGAACTATGAGAACGGAATCCTAACTGCTGCTCCCCTGAATGACCAGATCAATTGCTAGATCACATTTTCTAAAATATTTACCATATTACTCCTCTGCACAAAAACTGTAAAACTACCCATTGTCTCTAAAGAACATAGGACCCCAGCCCCTTTGACTGGCACTCAAGACACTTGACTATGACTTATTTCAGCCTCACCACCCGTCTCCTATGAGAATTCTGTACTCCTGCCAGACTTGTGCCCAACTTGATATGTAAGTCTGAACAGCTGCTCCATTCCATTGCTCTCATCTTCAGTGTGGAATGGAACCAAGACCCTAATTTGGGACATTTTCTTTCCAAGGAGGCTAGGGTCCCTACTTGGTTAGAAGACTACAAAACAAGGATTGAGGTGAGACCATGATGTTCCTGCGGCTCCTGCATCCCTTTCCCATTCACTCTTCTTCATCTTACTTCCAACTCATTTTCTGTGTCTGAGTTCACTATTTCCACATCAATACAACAAAGAGAAGAGGTGGTTGGGCGTTCTCTCTGGAAACTTACCTGCAATGGGCGGGCTCACCAAATATGGCACTGCATGAAGAAAATACACGACACCGAGTGCTGACGACAGAGAGGTGGTCCCCACTATTTCTGCAGTCACTACTGGGATCAGAGTCACATAGGCACCATCGAAGTAGCCAAATGTACAGGAGAAAGGCACAAGCAGGGGTAGACTTTGAAGCAGTGGGAGGCAGAGATAGCAGAGCCCATCGAGTCCCACGGCAAAGAGGTAGCAAACATACTGGTAATTCTTCAGACACCTGTGCATGTGAACAACAAGAATGAGTGCAGTTTGCACAGGTTCTATCAAAGAACTTTAGGACCAGGCCGCACAGCTGCAAGCACTGCAGCTGTTTATAGAGATGTCTTCACCATAATGCATTATCTATGTTATCTTTCTAGCTTTGCTATTTTATTTTTCAATTACAGCTGACATTCAGTATTATTTCTTATCAGTTTCAGGTGTATCCGTGTCTTTCTGTTTACATATGCAAATGTAAGATTTATTTCCCCAGGAAGCATGGTGTGGTAGAAAATAATATGTGCCCTAAAATTAGGAAGAAGTTTGAATCCAGTCCTGTCACCTACTAGCTGCCTAATTCTATCCTCAATTTCCTTAGCAATAAAAAGGCAAAGTTACCTATTTAATAGGGTTACTCCAAAGAGAGTCATAAAATAACATGTAGAATTTCAAGATACTAATATTTTCTAGCAGTCTATCACACTAGTTGCTTTCAGATATGTTATCTGTGGGTATCTGACACAACATATACACTTAATAAACAACCCAAGTGGTTATGCAAAGAGAAAGATACAATATGAAGACATATAAACGATTTGCCAGAGACTATGAAGGTCTTGTACTAGGACAAAGTCTTATTTCAAGACTTCCCCAGTGGTACATTCACTAATCTTTTCTCACTGTAGCTCCAAACCCATCTATGATATTAATTATTCCAAAGACTCTGTGTACTATCAGCACCAGCAGTTTATGCTTTAAAATGTTTTTCTACCCAGAGTCTCATGTGAGCCTCACAAAATGCCACGAGGTTTACAGGCACATATTGCACTGGCCCATTTTACAGATGAAGACCCTTGAGGATATGAGGGTTAAGTGATTTTCCCAGGTCCCAGAGATAATAATGGGCAGCGCCAGCCCAAGAGCTTGGGTGTTATATGTATCAGACAAGAGATCCCTCTATCAGACCTACACCAGGCTGCTTCCTCTTGAGTTACTTGATTCTAAAAACAAATACCCCTTGCTCTCCCCCTCTTCCTTAACTGGTAAAACTATGGAATTAATCCTAAGTATTATATTCATGACACTGCAGAATGGCAGTGGGATCCTAATTAATTACCAAAGACATATGTGAGAGAAGCCCTCATAGATAATAGCTCTCATAGGTCATAGGTCATAGCTCAAATGTGAAGAGTCCATCATTTAGGAGAATATGAGTTATGTGCTGTCTTCAATTCAAACCGACAAGCATTGCTGAAAAAACTACTCAGTAGATTTCTTCTAACTTTGGTTTTCTAATCCAAAAATTATAATGTAAGTATTTGCTATTTGCACTGTCAAACATAGATATGTGGCCTCAGATAAGGGTTATTACTGCATCTGTTCCTCCTTCCTATTCTGGATTCTGCTCCCCTCTCTGCTGCCAGCCAGTCTGTGGAGTGGTTCCAAAGAAACTAAACCCATGATACCCATCCATAAGTGGTCTTACCTGAGGACCAACGTGATTTAGGATGAAATTAAATCTATCACCAGAACTTACAGTTGCCCTAGTGTTTGCAAATTTAGAGATTCCTACCATCCTAAACCATTGAAGGCAGGAGTTGGCCAACTATGGCCAAATCCAGCCCACCACCTGTTTTGCACTATCTGTGGATGAAAAATGGTTTTCTACTCTTGAATACTTGGAGGAATAAAGTCTAAAGAACAGTGTTTTGTAACTTGACAAAATTATATGAAAAACTCAAATTTCAGTGTCCAAAAATAAAGCCGTATTGAAATATAGCCACTTCCATTTTCATGTATTATCTATGGCTGCTTTGGGGCTACACCACCAGAGTTGGGTAGTTGTGATCAGGTGAACATGTGAAACCAAAAATGTTTACTATCTGTCCCCTTACAGAGAAAGTTTGCCAGCCTCTAAGAACCAGCAGAGGAGTTGCCTTCAGACACTGAAAACTTGTTAACATTATTCAGACCTAGGTATCCGACAGGGAAAAGGGGATGAAGAAAACACAAAACTTGCAGTTCCCTGATGGGGAACCAATTGTGGTTTCACAAATTGTACCTTCGGTCGGTTAGCCATCCAAACGTGATATTGCCAACGATGTCAATCACCCCAAGCACGGACATAAGGAAAGCAGCTTGCTGGGGGCTCACTCCAACACTCAAAGCATAAGGCACCAAGTACACAAAGAGAGGGCTGCAGCCGTAAGCCATAAACAGCACAGAGGTGGCTAATACAGCAAAATCTGACATCAGTAAGAAACTGTATTCCTGCTGCAGAGAACAACAGAGGCAGGTCTGCACTCGTTCTTTAGTCAAAATTAAACAGGGAGACGCTCGATTAAAGTCTCGTTTCTGAGTTCTACAGACATGGTTCTGCTCTGGAGTTGTAGGGTCCTCCTTAAGAGTAATTGGCCTCATCAAGGCACCGCAGACACAGAGATTCAAAACAAAGCCCCCGAGAATGAGTAATGCTCCCCGCCAGGAAAACTGTTCAATAAGGAGCTGAACCACAGGAGCCAGGATGAAGGTGCCAATGCCGCTTCCTGACATAGCGATCCCATAAGCAAGGGCTTTCCGTCTGCTGAAATATTTGCCAACCATGGCAATGGCTGGAGAGTAGCAAAGTGCAAATCCAAGGCCTGGGGATAAAGAGAACTCTGTCAGTGCTGGTGTACCAAGAGGCGCCAATGAAAGAAAATAATCTCAGAATGAAGTTATGTGTGTTACAGAGAATCTGGCCTTCTATTAGCCCTTTTAAAACTGTGTTCTACACCAGGCTAAAATGGAGTCTCCCGTCACCAGTCATTGCACATTTGGAAAGTATAGCATATATATGATTTTCTTCTTGAGAAGAAAAGCCTTAAGGAAATGTGACTTCTTAAAACAAATGAAATGAAGAACTTAAAAACTGTTACACAAACTAAATTTGAATTAACAACAACAAAAAAATCAGGATAATGCTGATCTAAGAAACTTATTCTCTCCCCAAACACCTCCTTTTAACTTAAAATTATCCAGAAAATTGCCTCAAATCTTTGCTGCCTATGAACACACAAGTCTGCTAATCTGTACCATTCTGGAATTTGGGTGTAAATAGTACATATTACCCCATGCAAGTCCCAGAGTAATTTCACATCATGGGAAAACATCATGCTAATTTTATACATGAATATCACATGTACACCTAAGTAACCTGAAAATATCTGTTAAAGTCAGCAGAAAGCCTCTTAAAGATCTTCAGCATCTATTCCTTTTAAATCAGGAAAATCTGAAGGGCTTTAAACCTGGAATTCATGGCATCTAATGTCACAGAAGGAAAAAAGAGAACTCCCTGCAGCTCCTGCTTCCATCTGCAGTGCAGGGTGAGCAATGATCCCAACTGTCCTGAACTGAAGGGTGCCCGCGATGTGAAACTCAGTGCTAAGACCAGGACAGCCCCCCGTAAACTGGGATGACTGGACAGCCTAGCAGGCAGGCCCTGTGGGTTACATGGGACAGACACCTTTTTGTGCTGACAGAGCTAGACGTATAGCCTCTCTGTGAATTATGTCGTTTACTGGCCTGATCACACTAGAGTGGGGCACAGTGTCTGGACATGAGTCAGCGCTGCTCTCCACACCCCTGAGTGACGGGGCAAAATGCTACTCCAGTCCCGCCAGCCGACCCCATCCTGAACCCAGTCCCCTTATGGAATGCACATATGCTGTTTCTCTTTCTATGAGGTTCATTTTGATTCTCTAAAGTTTACTTCCATAATATTGAGAGTGTGTGTATAATATGAGAAGATTCACAACAGGGGGCTTTCTTTTTTAAGTTGGAAACCCCCATTTATTGGACAGTCGTGTTCACTATGAAGCAGAGGCTACTTGAGGCAACTGCAGATAGTATTTTAATGTCTTGTAAAGGATATTGGGAGAATGATCATTGTTGAAAATTTATGTTGCCCTGGCAAACAGCTCATGGCTTCTTAGTATAGAATCTCAGCCATACACTGCTGCCAAAGGGAAAGCCAGAAGTCACTTTTATCATGTGACTGAATTAAAGTAGTAATGTATTTTCACTATAGTTGTACAATCAATTGCAATTCCAACTCTTATTTAATAAGCTAGGTAAGCTAAATTACGCATCTAACAAAGTGAATGATTTATGAATTATTGCTCTGTTGATGTGCTTAACAACCCCCCGAATGAGGTTTCGCGAGACAAGTAATACAATGTGCCCCTACCTGTAAGAACTCCAAGAGTGAGGTAGAGATGCTTCAGGCTGGTGGCGAAGGAGCCAAGGATCAGACCAGTAGATGCAAGCAAGCCACCCAGCATGATTCCCACTTGACAAGATAAATGGTTACTGACGACACTCCCAAGTGGAGCTTCAAAAACAATAATAAGTCAGTTCAACAGAAGGGCCTTGAGGGCACTGTGAAAAGGCAGAGTAGAAAACAACTGACCTTTAGAGCATCAAGTTCCCCCCACCCTCCTACACATTCATCCTACAGATTTGGAAGCTGAGAAGACATGACTTGTCCATGGTCACACAGAGAATATGTAGCAAAGCTGGAATTAGGATCTAGTGTCCTGACTTCCATTTCAGTGCTCATTCCACTTCTCCATTCTACTACAATCATAGTCTCAGGACTGTGGGGGTTTTTTACTTTAAGATTTTTTTTTTTTCCGTTTTTAATCGAATGTTTTGGTGTGACATTGGTTTGCAAAACCAATAGATTTCTTTTTTTTAACGATTTTTTTTTAGTGGGAGAACTCCTTATTTAAACTACACGTCACTTGCACTGGGATATGCCTCATATTTTTCATACAGTGTTGATCATACACCATTAGCAATATTCATGACAGTCGACTGGTGAAGAAGGAAAGTGGGCAATACTAGGAGGCCAGGAGTGTTATGCAGGAAAGGCCAGAGAGAGAAATAATAGACAAAGGTCACAATCTGGCACTGTTTTCAGGCTTTAGGGAACCCTATAGATGAGAAATCTGGTTCCTCTGGCTCCTTGAGTCTCCTAAGCTGACGGCAGCAAGAGAGGTTCAGGAAAGCATGTGAATTTCTTTCTAAGGAACAATTCATGCTGACATCAGTAATCCTAGTAACAAAATCAAAAGAGCCAGTTCTCTAGGTACCCGTGGAGTATAATTTCTCTACTGATCAGGTTGACACCTGGGTCTGACTCAAATGTACATGATAGAATCAGTTATCAGCCTGATGTCTGCTGTCTCATTAAAAAGTGACTGGCTTTTTAAAACCTCTGGAAATAGGAATGAGCAAATCTCCTGAACATGTCTACTCTTCCAGGCTGTGGCTGCTATAGTTATTGGAAAAGAGACAAAATTGTCACCAACTTCAATGAAAAATGTTCACTTCTCTGTTTATCATATGGCAGATATGTTCCCAATGAGTGTTGTAGATGTGCTTCTACAGCCTCTTGTTCACTAAACTAATGCTACCAGGTAAGCAAGTATGTATATGGTAATTGGGTACAACAGGCCTCAAGTCGTTGCATGGAATTTAAATATGCTGCATATTTAAGGTTATGTTAACATGACCCTGCTTTGGCTCAGTGTCTCACACAATCATTGTGACTATATTGGTCACTGAAGGTCATTTATTCCTCTTTTGGAAATTACAAATATTCTCCAAAAGATAACAATGGGAGAAATGAGTCACCTGTATCCTTTGAGAAAAGCAAACACAGCTCTCTTGACTTGTTCATACAAAGGTTGTGACTAATCATGTTACCCTGAAAACCCGGTGATTGTCTTGCTGATTCAATATATGCTAGAAAACACAAAGATGTTATTTTTTGATCCCTTAAGACCTTCCGGTGTTATCAGTAGGAAGAATCAGTTTAACCTTATCACAAAACCTCCTTTTAGTACTGGAATTGCTCTCAAATTCCTCCCAACCAAGAAATAAATTGCAGTATAACTCAATTGATTCCTGAATATGTACATATTTTTCTAAAAATAAACCAGCACCTAGAATGGAATCAGATGGCATTATTTATAAGTTACCAAATATTTAATAATATAGTATTACCCTTTACCACAAAGACATGGCTGAAGAGAGAGCAGTTTTCTAAAATACTCAGGATTCATCACAATGAAAGGATTAAATTCGTCTAGCCTGAAAATAGATCCTATTGATTGGACTCAATCTCAGAAACTCTCTAAGCCACTAATTTAATAACTCTGGTTTGAAAATTGTAAAAAAAAAAAAAAAAAAACAAACTCAAGGTTAGTTTTCCTCTACTATATATATGGAATGAGAGATTCCATTTATTTTTGAGGATACTCTATTGACCCTATATATAACACCTTTGGGGTTTCTTGAATGAAATTACATATGGTGAATGTATTCATCTCAGGATTGCACCATCCTATTCTCTAATACTTGTCTAAGAATAAAAATGTATGCAGGAAAAACAACAAAATCTATGAGACAAAGTTTGGAACCTCTGGGAAGGGAACTGAATGAAAACTTGACTTGAATGAAAACAAGACCTGAAATGTGATGCACATGTTGTTTGTACTCATTTAAGTAGATCAAGTAGAAATGGCTCACGGTGCTACCCAAGAACTGTTTGCATGACTGGAGAAGGAGGGGATCACAGCATTTAGAAGAACGAAGCCAAGCATATTATTGTATGGTTAGCTGCTTCCAAAATCAAGGCAAGCTCTATGATGCCCAGCATCCTATCTTTATATGGAAGAACCAAATGGTATGTATCCTTCTGGGTTATTAACCACCGTTCCATCTGATATCAGCCAAAATCGTTAATTCCAAGGTGTCTGATTGGGTTTGGCTGAAGGTAGGATGAACCTTTTCTTTTAGTCTTAGGCAATTTTACCATAGTCCTTCTATTAAGGAAAACTGACAACCAAAAGCAGTAGAAGGTCATTGTCATGTACTGTTTGAGAGGAGCCAGTAATTGTCTATTCCTGGTAAGTGATACTTACCACAGAGCATAGTCACACAATCTACAATGGAATGGATCCATGCTGTTTGTGCATAATCCTGAGTGAAGTATGTCTGGAACTCCACAAAAAAAATTGAAATACATCTGAAAAATATAGTGAGTCCATGTTATACAAAAAAAAAAAAAAAAAGAAAAAAGGAATAAGCATGAATTTGAATCAGAGCTTAAAATTTTGGTTCAATCAACTGTGCCAGCCTCCATTAATTTAAATTGGTTTTCAGTGGAATTTTGCTGGACCATAATAAGTGGGAAATCAGAATCTGGCCATTGGGCAATTCTAAAGGTAAGAACAAGCTTTCATCCACTGGAGAAGCTTTTGAAGCCAAGTGGATATGAAGATCACTGCTGTAACAAAAGTCTTATGAAAAAGATGGCAGGCCAAAGCATGGATTCTTATTCATCTTAATATTTAGCTACCATCTGTAACATGTAAGAGGTTGTTATAGAAGTCAAAACTTGACAATAAAGTTATATACCACCCAGCATTTTCACTTCTAGGTTTTAACCAAAGGTAATAAACACAATGATGATGCTATTAGATACACATAACAGGAGATATTCTGGAGAATTATTTACAGCAGCCAAATTGTAACCAACTTATTTGTCCAATAAGGAACTGGTTAAATAAAAATTGGCATATCATAAAAATGATATATTATTAGGTATTAAAAATAGTGATTTGGAAATAAATTCATGATAAAATGTTAAAAAGCAAGTTACAAAATAGTTCGTATGGTAAGGGCTTATTTTTATAAAAAAAAAATGTATTCAAGTAATTTAAACAAAGCCTGAAAACATAACCATAAAGGACCCAGTCATTATATGTGAAAGTAAGATTATAATTTCATTTTTTGTCTTTATTCTGCATTTTGAATTATTTTTCAATGAACATGATTTCTTATACACACATATGTATGTGCGTATACATGTATATATACACATCACACACACATATAAGGTCTGTCTGGAAAAAGTCCAGCCATTGTTAACATAACGAGTATGGTTTTTGTGACATCGATGTAACCTGGAAGCCAAGGAGAGTGGACTGGAATGCGCATGTGTGAACAATGATGACTTCACTATACTAGTCAGTAAGGGCAGGTGAAGCCAGTGAGTGAACATGTGTAACTCTGTGGCTGTCGCATTCAAAATGACTTAATGAGTAAAGCAACAAATCTCCATCAAATTTTGCATTAAGCTTGAACATTTCTCCATGGAAACTCTTTTGATGATTCAAAAGGCCACAGCTATGGGCAACTGGTGACTGGCAGCTTCATCATGACAACACACTCACTCATGCATCACATAAGTTGCAGAATTTTTTGGCAAAATATCAAATCGCCCAGGTGACTCAGTCCCACTACACACCACATTTGGCACCCTGAGACTTTTAGCTTTTCCCAAAACTAAAATCACCTTTGAAGGAGAAGAGATTTCAGAGTATCAATGAAATTCAGGAAAATACAGCAGGACAGCTGACAGTGATTGGAAGAACTGTGTGCGGTCTCAAGGTGCCTACTTTGAAGGGGACTGAGTTGTCATTGTCCTATGTACAATGTTTCTAGTACATTGTATCTTCTTCAATAAATGTCTCTTTTTCATAGTACATGGCTGAATACTTTCTGGACAGAATTTTTATATATGTGTGTGTATATATATACACATATATATTTATATATGTAAGATATACGTAAACCTATATATGTTTTTCAGAGACAGGGGTACGCATACAGAGTCAGAGATGGAAACAGAGACCGAGACATTTTTATGTTGTAAAACAGTTAATTACTTAGGAAAAACAAGACATAAGTAATCCAGAAGCAATAGTTTATATCACCATGGAACTTGGAATGAACCTAATACAAATTAGCATGATGTCTCAGTTCAGCACAGGAAGCTTTTAGAGCTCAGGAGAAGAAATAAGGCCTTGTTACTCAGGGATGAGATAGGAGGTTATCAGTCATTTTGGATAGAGCTACACTCCAACTCATTATGCTTCCGTAGCCCATAGTAACCAGTTATTTCACTCTCCTCCTCTCCAGTTGCTGCTAGGTGTCAATTGAACAGCATATTAAAAGGATCATTCACCATAGTCAAGTGGGATTTATCCTTAGGATGCAAGAATTGTTATACATATACAAATCAATCAATGATTCATCACATTAATATAGTAAAAGAAAAGGAACATATCATTTTGATGGATGCAGAAAAAGCATTTGACAAGCTTCAAAATTAATTCATGATTTAAAAAAAAAACCCTTAACAAAGTAGGCATGGAAGACCGTATCTCAACATAGTAAAGGCCAAGTATTGATATGTCAAGCCCACAACTAAAAGCATACTCAATGGTGGAAGGTTGAAACCTTTTCCTTTAAGATCAAGAATAAGACAAGGGTACCTACTCTCACCACTCCTATTGAACATAGTACTGGAAGGTAGAGCAACCAGGCAAGAAAGAGAAGGAAAGGTATGATGGAAAGGAAGAAGTAAAATTGTCTCTATTTGCAGGTGACATTATTTTATATATAGAATATCCTACATGCACAACCAAAAAAAAAAATCCTTAGATCTAACCAGTAAATTCAGTAAGGTTACAGGATATAAAATTTACATACAAAAATCAGTAGCATTTCTATACCCTAACAACAAAACTTCTGAAAAAAGAAATAAAGAAATCAATCCCATTTTCAATAGCATCAAAAACAATACAATAATTAGGAATAAATTTAAATAAGGAGGTGAAAGATCTCTACAAGATAACTACAAGACATTGATGAAAGAAATTAAAAAAGACACAAATAAGTGGGAAAGTACCCAGTGTTCACAGACTAAAAGAATTAATATTGTTAAAATGTCAATATTATCAAAAGTCATCCATTTGATGCAATTTCTATCAAGATTCCAGTGGCATTTTTTTTTACAGAAGTAGAATAGACACCTCTAAAATTTAAATGGAACCAAAAAAATCCCAAATAGCCAAAGACACTGAGAAAGAGAAACAAAATAAAAAGTACCACACTTCCAGATTTCAAGCTATTCTATAAACCTATAGTTATCAAAATAGCATGGTGCTGGCATAAAAACGGACAAATAGATCAATGGAACGTAACTGAGAGCCAAGAAATAAACCTAAATATATAATATACTGTCAATAACTGACAAGGGAGCCAAGAATACTCAATTAAAAAAAGGCAGCCTCTTCAATAAATGGTGCTGAAATAATTGAATATTCACATGTATAAGAATGAAACTGGACCCACATCTTATACCACTCACAAAAAATTTAACCTGAAATGGATTAGAGACTTAAATGTACCACCTGAAACTATGAAACTCCTAAAAGAAAACATAGGGATAAACCTCCTCGACATGGATCTCTGCAAGGATTTTTTGGAAATGACACCTAAAGCACAAGCAACAAAATAAAAAACAAACAAGTGAGGCCACGTCACACTAAAAACTTTCTGCACAGCAAAAGAAACCATCAACAAAGTAAAAAGACAGCTCATGGAATGGGAAAAAATACTTCCAAAGCATATGTCCAATAAGAGGTTAATATCCAAAACAAATAAATTACTCATTCAACTCAATGGTAAGAAACCAAATAACTCAATTTAAAAAATGTGCAAAAGACCTAAGTAGACATTTCACCAAAGATGTACAAAAGGTAAACAGGTACATGAAAAGATGCTCAACATCACTAGTCCCTAGGGAAAAGCAAATTAAAACCACAATGAGATAATACCCCACATCTGTTAAAATGGCAATCATCAAAATACAAGAGTCAGCAAATGCTGGAGAAAAGGGAATCCTTGTGCACTATTGGTAGAACTGCAAACTGGTATAGCCACTATGGAAAACAGTATGGAGAACCTTCAAAATATTAAAAACAGAACTACCATAAGATCCAGTAATTTCACTGCTGGGAATATATCCAAAGGAAATAAAAATATTAATTTGAAGAGATATATGCAGCCCCATGTTCATTGCAGAACTATTTACAATAGCCAAAGCATGGCACCAACCTGAGTGTCCATCCATAGATGAATGGATAAAGAAGTGTGTGTGTGTGTGTGTGTGTGTGTGTGTGTGTGCATGCACATGTGTGTGTATAAAAAATGGAATATTATTCAGCCATAAAAATGAGGAAATCCTATCATTTGGACAACATGAAGGTATTATACTAAGTGAAATAAGTCAGAAAGAGAAAGACAAATACTGTATGATCTCACTTATATGTGGAATCTTAAAAACAAACAAAAACCAAACTAAAAGAAAAAGAGGTTAGCCTTGTGGTTACCAGAGGTGGAGGGAGGGGTAAGGGGTAAGTGGTTCTCATGTAACAACTTTCAGTTACATGACAAATAAGCACTAGAGATGGAATGTACAACATGATGACTACAGATAACACTGCATGATATATAGGGAAGTTAAGAAAGTAAACCCTAAGAATTCTTATCACAAAGAGAAAACCTGTTTTTCCTTTCTTCTTATTTCTTTTCTTCATTGTATCTGTACGAGAAATGGCTGTTTGCTGAACCTGTTTTAGTCATTTCACAATATATGCACATAAAACAATCATGGTGTATGCCTTAAACTTATACAGCGACGTATGTCAATTATTTCTCAATAAAACTGGGGAAAAAGAAACACCCAATAGGCACTGATTCTCTGAATTGACAAATCACCCTGCCGGCTGCTTTCTTTGTCTGTCTCTGGAGTTCTTGGCTGCTTCCTGGTTTATGACATTTAAATTCTGATGCAGGTTGCATCTTCACACATTTCTTCCTCTAAGCTTATTCTGCTCAGGTGTCTTCCTCTCTGCCACTCCCAGTAACCTCTGCTAATAGGCCTTCACTGCCAGCCACAATCCTCTTTTCTGGCTTCCCGCTGCCCTTCCTTATGAAGCACTGAGCTCATTTCCAAAACTTTCCTGTCATGGAATGATGGAAGTTTCACATGTAAAAACCAAGATGAAAGATTCCTTTTAACTGCATGACCTTCTCACACCCAGAACACAAGCTCCCTAATACAAATGGGAGCAAAAGCAAACTCAACACCAATCATATAATTTAAAACAAATCCCAAGCTTATTATGACACATAATTAATGAAAACAAACATCTTGCTTCTTTCCTGCATTATGTATTTGTTACGAAGCTAATGCCAATGCTTTTATCGATACTACCATCAAATAACGCTTTTAGTGCAAATTGTTTTCTTTCGCTGCCAAGTGGGAGCTGCCACAGAAGAACAAAGAGTTCAGCTTGAACGGGAGCACCTGTAGAGGAAAGAGCTGGCACAGGCAGATTTCAAGTATGTATTTGTTCCAATGAGTCTCAACGTATACTCGTTTAATTTAAGCATTTTCAACTCTATGCCCTTTGATGAAAGAAAAGAGAGAGAGATGTGCTCTTGTCAGCAGCACATACACTAGCACTGGAACTATACAAAGATTGGCATGGCCCCTGAGCAAGAATGACATGCAAATTCGTGAAGCATCCATATTTTTTATGCTGTACACCTGTAACTAATACAAAATAATATTTAATGTAAACTGTAATTGAAAAATGAAATTAAAAAAACAAGAAATTTTCTCAAAATATAAACATATCAAAAAGAAAAAAAGACATAAGCAAATGAGAATCCCTGTCTTTACGCTGTTGCTCTCTCCTTCAATTTAGAACTCGGTCTCCTCTAATACAGCCAAACTCAAAATGATGCAAAAGAATTTAAATTCTAATCTTTAAGCTTCCAAGAGCTCATTATCTAGTGACCCAAGAGGTTTTAAGGACTATTTTGACATTATGTTTTTCCTTTCGGGGATGAGCTGCTTATGAAAACAAATGGCTTGGAATAGCCACAATATTTGGTCTAAAAATGTCCTAATACTTTGGGTTTATACATCAGCTACTATAGAAGAGACCACAATCTAGGACTTTTAGGTGTCAGAAAATCACATTCCTTACAAAGAAAAAGACACCTGGTTAGTCCAAGAAAATACACACATACACACACCATACAAATGCATACATATTTTCACAATGACATGTTCAGAAATAGAATGAAGCAGATTTAGAAAAAAAGACAAGCCAGATCATCTTAATACATCGAGAAGACAATCTCACCTACCTGGTCACTGCTCGGGTACAGATGGTGACAAGGAAACAGCCAGCCACAATCATCCAGCCCCACCCTCCATCTGGAGGGGAGGTGGACCGAACTCTTTTAACTTTTGTCATGGTTTCAATTCTTTTTGCTTCTTTTCCAAGTTACTCCAACAGCCCAGTTATGATCTTAGAAGTTTCCCGTCCAGTGACTTCCTGTTGGCATTCAAGATTGGCATAAAATGCTACCTGGCACGAGGATTACTGTAGGCCATCTAAAACCAAAAATCAGAACATATTTGTATTTTATTGACATCTTAAAAAGTTGCTTTTTCATAGGGCAAAAATGATTAATACTTTCTTGTTACATATGATTATTTGTAACTAAGAATACAGGACTGGGGTGAAGACCATTAGTTGTCCTTGGTGCCCATCCCCCTTCTTTTCATAATAGATCCTCTCAAATTTTAGCCAAATCCACATGTACCCAGTTTGATGCCATTTTCCCTCGCTTTTCCTGAAGGTAGGTGTGGCAACATTGTTTGGTCTTAATGACAGGGATGCGAGAAAAAGTAATATGTGCCACTTCTGGTCCTTCAGAGAAAAGACAAAGGCACTTTCCCAGGATGGCCCTCACCCCCTTTCTCAGACTGGAACATAGATGTGGAGACAGGAGAGCTTCACCCACACAGATCAGGACACCGCCTTAGGGCTAGCAGAACTACATGGTAGAAGGAATCAGGGTCTCCAAAAGACTCTTTGGCGAAGGCTGCCTCTCCAGCTCTGGACTTCACATACTGTTAGAAGAAAGATAAAATCTGTATTTGAACCTGTGTAGTTTGGAGTTTCTCCGTTACAACAGCTTAGGTAATGTCCTAATTATTATACTGAATGAATCTGACTGTAACATCTTTGGCATTTCTGAGTAAGAATGCTATTATCTGTAAGGTGTGAAATTGAAACAAGAAGAGAACAACAAATAAATGAAACAGAAGAGGGAGATCAAGCGCCAGTACATAAAATTCAATATAATTAAATAAGGTAGCAAAGATTGGTGAAGAATAAAGGATTACTCCCTACATTATGTTACAACTCTCCATTTAGGTCTTGAGCTTCTAGATAAATGAGAGTTAAATGTGAAAAAAAATCTTTAAAACATAGGTGAAATTATAGGCAAGTATTTGTCGGATCTCTAGGGAGGAAAAGGACTCCTTGAGATGCAAATTAATGTAAAAAAACAAGGTAAATTTTTGTTGATATGTCTAATTAAAATTTAAATTTATTTCTATACATCAAAATGTATAATAAATAAAACTAAAAGGTAAACCATAGACTTGGAAAAAAACATTAACAACATTAATTCATTCAACTACCAACATTTATTGAGTGTTTAATATGTGTTAGGCCATGTTTCAGGGCATTGGGGGTTTAGTGGAGATTCCCACATAGATCATCTAGGTTTGCCTCCCTCTTCATCTTATTAGCCATCCTGTGATTATGAGGGGACTGACAAAGGAGACGGAATACAACTGAAGAGTATAAATCTATCAAATGTATTAGAAGAGTAGTGTTGGTATAAATATTAACCTACTGATTAGGATAAAATCAAAATTATTATTTGAAATGATATTATTGCTAATCACTGGCCTAAGGACTGAGTAATTGCCAAAACCCTGGTCTCCACACTAAGTGAAAATAACACAGAGCTACCTTTTACAGAGCAATTCCCACAGACCATGCTACTATCTATATGCTATTAAGTAGCATATAGATATTCTATATCTTTATAGCATATAGATAGTATCTCAGTTATGCCTTACAACAACCACAGATGTAGGTATAATTATCCCTCAAGCTAGAGAGATTAAGTTATTTGCCCAGTTACTATAACACTGCCCAGCAGCAGAAACAGGGTATGAACCTTAGTCATACTGCAAGGCCACTTTTCCTAACCAGTGCCCTACACTAGTTCCACTGCATTTCCTTATTTCCTTGTATCAGTTCATATACATTTTTGTCTAGTCATGTGCATTAAATTCTTGCTGATGTCACACCAGTAAGATGACTTTAATTGCAGCCTAATGCAGCTAAAAATGTAGCTCTTAAACAGTACAATTGATATTTTCCTAAAACATACCTGAGAGTCAGTGACTTGATCAATCACATAATGATCTCTAATTTCAAAGCAAAACCAACTTTCAAAAGGACTCTCCAACACTCTGGAACTCCAGGGTCAATCCCTGCAACACTTAACTTTGTGTCATGGGGAAGTACTTTTAATATTCAACCACTTTCTTCCCCATAACTAAACACTCAAAGAAAAACTCATTTAGGATCCGATCCAAAATGACAGCAGAGTTGAGGAAGCTACACTAACCTCCTTCCAGGACCAATTTGAAATTCCAACTAAATTCCAGAAAAATCATCCTGAATAACAAACTGAAGACCAGCTGGAGAAAAGCCTTATAATCAAGAATTTACATAAGAAACCACACAACCACACTGAGACTGGTAAGAAGTGTGAAGCCACAACAGGGCTGGCTGGGCTCCAGAAATGGCAACAGACATTTCGAAGGGATATTTCAGCAGTTGGAGGGGTTCCCCCTAAGAAGTGTGAGGTCTAAACCCAAAGCCAGACTCCCCAGCCTAGAGTGCCAGAACTGGGAAACAAGCCCACATAATATCCAACTATGGAAAGAAGTGGATTTCTATCTACCAGGGTGAGACACCTAAAGATGCAGACATCGGCTTAAATGGTCAATGCATAAAGTTTCATTTGCAGCCACTTACCCTGGGCTCCAGCAGAGGGAGGGCAGAGTTGGCTAGAGCCACATGAGGATAGTCTGGGGATGGTGGCTCTGGGGAAAGAGCTGAAGGGTCAGCTGCAAGGATCCCTATGCTCAGTCATTCCCCATACTGCAGAAGCCATCTTTCTCAGGCAGAGCAGTCCCCTTCATGTGGAACCACCCTGGGGGGAAGCAATAACCCCACCTGCAGGAATCCCTCTCACCCCACCCTGTAGAGCTTAAGCCCTGCTGAGGACTACAGCTGGAGGCTCTTTCAGTAATTAAACCTAAAAGACAGCCTGCAGGTGGAGACAGATCTCTGGGTACTCTGAGACTTCAGCTGGTCCTACCCCAGGCATGGTGCTGGTAACAACCAGCCTTGGTGCACAGCTTGGTCCTTTATGCACTCACCCAAACCAGTAGAGGGAGCCACAAGTGTAGATTGCTGAGAGCTCCAAAAAGATCGCCCAGGGTCAGTCACAAGCAACATCTGACATAGGTCTGCACCAGAGTCTTTGCAGATCTACCTAATACATAGAAACAAACACAAAGAGGCAGCTAAAATGGGACGATAAAGAAACAGGCCCCAAATGAAAGAACAAGAGTTCTCCAAAAGAAGAGCTAACTGAAATGGAGGCAAGCAATTTATCACATATAGGCCTCAAAGTAATGACTGTAAGGATGCTCACTCAACAGCATGAAATAAGACATAGAATCCATAAAAAGGGACTAGTTGGAAATGAAGAATACAATATCTGAAATAAATAATATACTGGAAGGAATAAACAGTATGGTAGATGAAGCAGAGGATCAAATCAGCAATTTGGAAGAAAACATAGGAAAAAAACACACAATAAGAGCAACAACAACAACAAAAAATAATTCCAAAAGTAAGGATAGTTTAAGGAACATTAGTGAAAATATGAAGTGTAACAATATCTGCATCATAGGGACACCAGAAGAAGAAGACAGAGAGCTAAGGATCAAAAACATATTTGAAGAAATAATCACCAAAAACTTTTTTGACCTAGTGAACAAAAAAGACACATAAGACAAGGAAGTGCAGAGTCCCAAACAAGGTGGACCCAAAGAAGCCCACACAAAGGCCCATAATAATTAAAATGGCAAAGCTTAATGACAAGGATTCCTAAGAGCTGTAAGAGAAAAGCAGTTAGTTACCTACAAGGAAGCTCACAAAGGATTGTCATCTGATTTCTCAACAGAAATATTTCAGGTCAAAGGGGATTGGCATGAAATATTCAAAGTGATGGAAAGCAAGGTCCTACAACCAAGGCTACTTTACCCAGCAAAGATATCATTTAAAATTGAAGGAGAAATAAAGAGCTGTACAGAAAAAAAAGCTGAAGGAGTTTGTTACTACAAAACCAGTATTGCAACAAATGTTAAAGGGGTTGCTTTAAGAAGAATAGAAAGAAAAAAACAGAGGAAAGTAGTTAAAAATATGAAATAGCAAGAAATATGTATCTATAAATAAGCACTTTAAATGTAAATGGCTTAAATGCTCCAATCAAAGACATAGGGTAGCTGAATGGATAAGAAAACAAGAACCACCTCAGAATGGAAGATACACACAGACTAAAAGTAGAGTAGGAAAAAGATATTTTATGCAAATAGGAAGGAAAAAAAGCTAGGGTAGCAATACTTACATCCAACAAAATAGACTTTAAAACCAAGGCTATAGTAAGAGACAAAGAAGGACACTACATAATGATAAAGGGAACAATTTAAAAGGATATAACCCTAGTAAATATTGATGCACCCAATATAGGAGCACCTAAATATGTAAAGCAAATCTTGATGGATGTAAAAGGAGAGTTGACAGAAATACAGTCATAGTAGGGGATTTTAACACCCAATGGACTTCAATGGATAGATCTCCCAAACATAAAATCAACAAGGAGACAGTAGCCTTAAATGACACATGAGATCAATGGATTTAATTGATATCTTCAGAGCATTTCATCTCAAAGCAGCAGAATGTATATTCTTTTCAAGTGCACATGGAATATTTTCTAGGATAGACCACATGTTAGCAGACAAAAAGTTTCAATAAAATTAAAAGATTGAAATCATATCACACATCTTCTCTGACTATAATGCTATGAAACTTGAAATCAATCATAAAAAGAAAACTGAAAAATATGCAAAGACATGGAACTACATAATATGGTACTGAAAAATGAATTGGTAACGATGAGATCAAGGAGTAAATCAAAAGATACCTTGAAACAAATGAAAATGAGAACACAAAAACCCAAAATCTGTGGGACACAGGGATAGCAATCCTGAGAGGAAAATCCATAGGTTTACAGGCCAATCTCAAGAAACAAGAAAAAGCTCAAATAAGCAATCTAACTCTATACTTAAAGGAACTTGAAAAAGAACAACAGACAAAGCCCAAACTGAGTAGAAGGAAGAAAATAATGAAGATCAGCGTAGAAATAAATGAAATTGAGGCTAAAAAAAATTACAAAATACCAATGAATCCCAAACCTGGTTCTTTGTAAAGATAAACAAAATTCACAAACCTTTAACCAGATTCATCAAGAAAAAAAGAGAGAGGACCCAAATAAATAAAATCAGAAATGAAAAAGGAACAGTAACAACAGACACGGAAGAAATACAAAGGATTGTAAGAAAATATTACAAACAACTATATGCCAACAAATTGGACAACTTGAATGAAATCAATAAATTCCTAAAAACATACAATCTTCCAAAACTAAACCAGGAAGAATCACAGAAGAGAATATACAGATTACAACTAGTGACACTAAAGCAGTGATAAAAAACAAACACACACCAAAAAAACCCCCAAAAGTACCAACAAACAAAAACCCTGGAACAAATTGCTTCACAGGTCAATTTTACCAAACATTCTAACACCTCTCCTCAAACTAGTCCAAAAAAGTCAAAAGGAGGGAAGACTTCCAAGCTCATTTTACAATAGCAGCATTATCCTAATTCCAAAACCATTTAAAGACACTACAAAGAAAGAAAATTACAGGCCAATGTCCCTGATGAACATAGATGCTAAAATCCTCAAAAAAAATGTTAGCAAACCGAATACAGCAATACATCAAAAAGATCATACACCAAGGTCAAATGGGATTTATTCCAGGGATGCAAGTCTGGTACAATATTCACAACAATAAATGTGATACCCCAAAATAAACAAAATGAAGACTAGAAACCACATGATCGTATCAATAGATACAGAAAAAACATTTGATAAAATCCAGCACCTATTCATGATAAAAACTCTCAGCAAAATGGGAATAGAGGGAACATAATTAACATAATAAAGACCATATATGATAAGCTCCCTGTCAGCATCATATTCAATATGCAAAAACTACAATGTCCCCTTAAGATTAGGAACAAGACAATGACGTCTGCTTTCACCTCTCTTTTTAAATATAGTACCGGAAGTCCTAGCCACAGCAATCAGACAAGAAGAAGAAATAAAAGGCATCTAAATTGGAAAGAAAGAAGTAAAACTGTCATTATTTGCAGATGACATGTTACTGTACATAGAAAACCCCAAAGATTCCACTGAGAAACTACTAGACTTGGTAAGTGAATTCAGGAAAGTATCAGGATACAAAAATATCCAGAAATCAGTTGCATTTTATACACTGATAATGAACAATCAGGAAGGGAAATTAAGAAACAATCCCATTCACAATTGCTTCAAGAATAAAATATCTAGGAATAAAGTTAACCAAGAATATAAAAGACATGTACTTGGAAAATTATAAGACACTGAAGAGAGAAATTGCAGAAGATAAAAATAAATGCAAACATACCATGTTCATGGATAGGAGGAATTAACATCATTAAAATGTCCATACGACCCAAAGCAATCTGTAGATTCAATGCAACTCCTATCAAGATACCAACAATGTATTTCATAGAACTAGAACAAATATTCCAAAAATTTACATGAAACAGCAAAAGACCCCGAATAGCAACAGCAATCTTGAGAAAAAAGAAGAAAAGTTCAAGGAATCATGCTATCTAATATTAAACTATACTATGAGGCCATAATCAAAACAGCATAGTACTGACATAAAAAAAAGACACATAGGTCAATGGAACAGAATAGGGAGTCCAGAAATAAACCCACACCTATATGGTCAATTAACCTATGACAGAGGAGGCGAAAACATACAATGGGCTAAAAATAGTTTATTCAGTAAATGGTGTTGGGAAAGATGGAACTAGACCACCTTCTTATGCCACACAAGAATAAACTCAAAATGGATTAAAGACTTAAATGTTAGACCCGAAACCATAAAAATCCTAGAAAAAAATATAGGCAGTAAAATCTTAGACATTGTTCATAGCAATATTTTATGTGATATATCTCCTTAGAAACAAAAGAAAACAAAAGAAAAAAATTAAAAAATGGGACTACATCAAACTAAAAAGTGTTTTTACACCAATGGAAACCACCAACAAAAGGAAAACACAACCCACAGAATGGGAGAACATATTAGCCAATATATCTGGTAAGGGGATAATATTCAAAATTTATAAAGAATGCATAAAATTCAACACCAAAACAAACACCCCAATTAAAAATGAGCATAGGACCTGAATAGACACTTCTCCAAAGAGACCATACAGATGGCCAACAGAGATATGAAAAGATGCTCAACATCAATAATCATCATAGAAATGCAAATTAAAACCACTGAAATATCACCTCACCCCTGTCAGCATGGCTATTACCAATAAATCAACAAACAAAAAGTGCTGACAAGGTTGTGAGGAAAAGGGAGCCCTTCTGCACTGTTGGTAGGAATGCAGACTGGTGCAGCCACTGTGGAAAGCCATATGGAGTTTCCTCAAAAAATTGAAAATGGAACTCTCTTTTGACCCAGCGATTCCATTTCTGGAAATTTATTTGAAAAAAAAAACAAACCCTGAAACTCTAATTTAAAAGAACATATGCACCCTTATATTTATCACAACATTATTTACAATAGCCAAGATTTGTAAGCAGCCCAGGTGTCCATCAGTAGATGAGTGGATAAAACAACTATGGTACATTTACACAATGGAATACTCCTCAGCCGAAAAAAAAATTTTACTCTTTGCAATAGCATGGAAGGACCTGGAAACCATTATGCTAATGAAATAAACTAGTCAGAGAAATATTCCACATATGGAATCTAATGAACAAACTGAACTAACAAGCAAAATGGAGGCAGACTCATAGATAAAAAGCAGGTTGACAGCTCTTGGGGGTGTGGGTTGGGGGGTAGTAGGATCAAGCAAAATAGGAAAAGAACTTACGGACACAAACAACAGTGTGGTAATTGTGGGGTCGGGGGTCAGAGGAGGTGTGTGGCAATGGAAGAGGATATGAGGAAGATAAATGGTAATGGGAAAATACAATAAAAAATAAACTATAAAAAATCCATTTAAAAGATCCACCATACTTGTAGTTTTGCCTTAATATGCAAAACCTACTACAACAGTCAGAGCTGGTTGCCTA